TTGATACTGCTGTCAAACAAATAGAATATGGTATAAAATATTTTAAAAATTATAGAAATATTGGATTTGACTCTAGTTTAGAAAAAGCTAAAGAAGTTGCTTTTAATATAGATGTTGAATGTAAATTTAAAAAAAAAAACGACATATTTATAAAAAAAAAATAATAAAAAACATAGTTTGATGAAAATGAAAATGAAGATGGAATACAATACGATAAAAAACAATTTAAGATTAATTATTTTCTGGTTATTGTTGATATGACTATTACATCCTTAAATGAGATATTTGAACAATTAAGTAAATTTAATAGTATTTTTGAGTTTTTGTTTAATTCTAAATAACTTAAATCTTTGAATGATGATGAACTTAGAAAATGAAGTGTTGTTTTTTCAAATAGTTTATCTCATAATAATTTATGTGATGTTGATTTAGAAGATTTTATTACTGAATTAAAAGTTTTACAAGTTATTTTACCGGATAACTTAAATTCGCCTATTTAAATTCTTGAATATGTTAGAGCTACTGATTGTTATCCAAATGTTTCAATTGGTTATCGAATTTTATTAACATTTTCTTTAACAGTAGCATCTGCTGAAAGAAGTTTTTTTTAATTAAAGTTATTGAAACTTATTTAAGTTCATCTATGTCGCAAAAAAGATTAAATGATTTAGCTATGTTATCTATTGAAAAAGAAATGCTAGAAATCATCAATGTTGATAATATTATTAATGATTTTGCATAAAAAAAAATGCTAGGAGGAATAATATTATGTAATACTTATGTATTTTTATTTATAATCTGCAGGCTAACAGTAGAAGTAGCTTCCACAAAATAGCAAACAAACTATGATAACATGGAGGCGGCAACATGTATGAAGTTGGTGGAATAATCCAAAATATTAATACTTGGATTAAACCCTTTTTGAGTCCTATTGTTTAATGTTTAATTTGTTTTGCATTAAGCATATTTTGTAAAACTTGAATATTGTTATTTTTAATTTTTTTAAAAAAAACTATTTGGTAGGAGCCTTTTTTTTAAGTTTTACCCAAGGCCTTCGATGTGTCAGGAACGGGCCTCCGCGCACATTGCCCGCTCGCCTACCCACTTACCTGGATCGGATCGGACCGAACACAGACACGACATGATACATCACGATACGACACGTACACGTAAGTGCACGAGCTCGGGCTCGGGTGGAGGTTTATGGGTCGTGGGGCTTGGTAAATGCTTGGCTTTCCGAGGCCAAGTTTTGCACCACAATCCAATAATCGAGCCCAAAACTCAAACACTTTATTTTGTCTCGATACAAGCCTAAGTCTTGGAGTCCAATATCAGCCCAATATCTGGATAATATTTTATCCAATAAGTTGATCATATCCAATTGTGATCATGGGAATTTCAATCATAATCAAATTATTCCTTAATTACAATTGTAATTTATGGTAACAATATTACTACCTTAATCGCGATTGTAATTTACAAAAGAATTATCAATGCCTCTCGCGAAAAAGGTTTCTCTATTTCCCCCGGTGGTGTCCCTATAAAAGAAGGACATCTTCCATTCATTCAAATACACTAACAATATCCTCTCATCCCCCTCTTATCTTTTCCCCCCTTTATCTTTTCTTTGTTTCCATAAACCTCTATAGCCCAGTTTCTCCATTGCTTTGTTCGTTGGAGCTTCGATAATCTAAGATGCCACTCTCATTGGAGACGAAAATTATTTTATATTTGAATTAGAATGCTGGCCACCGAAGACACTATTGTGGCGTATTTAATTTTCAAGAAGGTGATTCATATTCTTGTAATATTTATTTAAACTAACATCACAGAGAAATCAATGCAACAGAAATGATGGGTAAATTGGTGAAAAATTACAATTAAAATGGTGGATATAGCCCGAGATGATTGTTATATACCAAAAGCAAAATTGTAGAAAAAGCTTACGTAGATCAAAATTCAAGGAGAGTGGCACCGGCCATTAGAATTTGAGTTCATGTGGGGCCTATTTTGTGAGAAGATAAGTATGAGGTATTGTAATACTCGATCCGTAGTTGAGTTGGCTCATTAAGTATTTTTGTAATTGAATATTTTAAAGTTATTTTGCCTGTCGACTTCATACAGCTGTATATTTTTTACTTCATATCTATTTTTATGAAATTTATGTCATTGAATAGGTTTATAAGTTACCTTTCCAACATCTCAAACATTGAGTCAATCTGAATTCAAACAAGAGAATTATAACCAAAATAGTAAGCAAAGATATGTTGTGTAGTAAAAAACATCTCTTAAAAATGTCATAGAGATTTTAACTCGACTTTTAAACATAAAACATCATTTTCTCACTTATATTTTATCTTCATTTCATCATCGAAATACTCCTAAGAAACCCTAGCCGCCATCCCTTCTTGTTCACTCAAGTTTGATGTAATTTTGGAATGAAGTCCGATCGAGCCAAGTTTCACGAGTCAATGGTAGCCGAGTTAATTAGCTTCCTCTAAGTAAGATAAGAAATTAAATATCGCATGTCCAATGAATCATCTGATTTTTCGCTTGATTGATAAACTATAAGAACAAAATATATGTCAATGTGAAGTGATATAAGAACATGATAAACATGTTTATATATAGCCGAATTGATATGAGTTAACATTTCTTACAAAATGATTATGTGCATGTATGATTATGTATTATACTATGCGTGGTTGTTGATTTGAAAATTAGCAAAGCCAGCACTAGGTTAGCTAATGAGATGAATGGTTAAGCCGGTACTAGGCCAACTCATATGTATTGATGACTTGGTGCTAGACTATCCGATTGATTGAGAATAGGTTATGCCGGTGTTAGACCAACTCCTATGTAATGATAAGCTAGTGCTAGGCCATCCGATTGATTAGCAATGAGTTAGACCAGTGTTAGACTAACTTATGTGCATAGATGAGCCGGTGTTAGGCTATTCAATTGATTGAGATTGGGTTGTGCCAATGATAGGCCAACCTTTGTGCATTGATGGATGCATTAGAATGCTTTGAATTTTCTATGATTGTAATGTAGCATGATAAATTTTAGTTTATGTAAATTAATTCTTTACTCAGTTTTTGCTGATAATACTATTTTTTTCTATGAACAGTTGAATTCAGGACATTCATCCATTTGATGCATCATTGGGATGCGACTTTTATTAAACATTCATGAAATTTTGGATCGGATATTGTTCAAATTTAAGATTACACATTCTCTACTTTTGAAATACATTGAGAATTTTGAATTTGTGTAATAATATTCTAGAGTTGCATATTTTACTGTACTTGTGAATTTTGGTAAAAATATTTTAAGATTTCTGCAAAGAAAAGAAAAAACTTTTACACTTATTGTTATTATGTTTTAACCTTAACTTTAGAGCACGTCATATTTTTGCGTGACGTTGTTCTAATGTTGACATGTGACACTTCAAGATTATTATTATTATTATATAGGGTGTTATAAAAATGTCAAGGGACCGGTTATAATAAATAGATAGTTATGGTATTGAATTATTGCAACTCTCTGAATCAATATAATAAAAATATCCCCGATATTTATCTGAATCAGCATAATAAAAATATCCCCGATTCTACCTGTGAACATAGGTTGACACACCGTCACTGAACCACGTAAAATTTATATATTCTTTATTTTCTTTCTTTTTCGTTTTCTCATAACAGAATAAGACTAATTTTTATGCAATTTTGATTTGCCAAGCTATCTATTAATTAACAAAAGTTTTTTAAAAATAATCACATAACATAAGTAGAAATTGGGATTCTAGAGAGATTTATGTTCCTATTTTTTTTATAACATGGTAATTCGCAGTCGCTACCGTTCGTGTGCGTTTCGAGTAAATCCTCGGTCGAACCTAATAGCTTGTAAAGTAAGCTCGACAATACAAGTCACATTAGACGAATCATATATAACAAACAAGACCTAGAGGTGCTGGAGTTTGTGTTCCTTATTATTATTATTTTTTTCTATAGCAGGCGAATTTATTTGTAGCTTCATTATTATATATGCAATTCTATATTCAATTTCTAGATCTTCTATTTATAGAGATTTTATTTTTTAGCTTATTATTTTGAGCTTTTCAACATATGTATATCACCTTGAATTTCCTTTTCACATGTTTGTAATAATTTCTTGCTGAAAATAATCCCCTCATGATTGAAGATTTGAAGAAATCAATGATGCTTGAGTTCGATACGAAGGATCTCGTATTCATGTCATACTTTGAAATTGCCCAATTGAATCTTCATCTCACATAAAAAAATATATATATATTTCGAAAATATTGAAGAGATTCAATATACAATATTGCAAATATATATATATATATATATATCAAAAACATTGAAGAGATTCAATATACAAGATTGCAAATATATATATATATATATATCAAAAACATTGAAGAGATTCAATATACAAGATCGCAAAAATATATATTTCAAAAATATTGAAGAGATTCAATATACAAATTTGCAAATCCAACAAAGACAAAGTTAAATAGAACATGAAATTGAAGCACATTTTGATCCCACATACTAGAAAAGCAGCTTGTTGGGAGTTTAAGGCACACCTCGCTTGTATCCCACATATGGCGTTGGATTGATAAGCAAATTCAAATTCATGGAGAATCCTATCAATCGCATCTTACAAGTTGCGTTGCTAAACGAATTTGAAGGATAGGATACTCGTAATAATACAGTACATGAAGCAATGCAATACTGATCTCTTTGGTACTCGGATAACAATTGGAGAGGTGATTTTGATGATAAAGAAAACACCCAACGGATATTTACTCATTTTATATATTTTGTCAACAATGGCATAGCCACGAGACCTTCAATTTTAGTATTTGATCGAGATCTCATGATCATCTCCCCTTAATTTATTTGAATTCATATTCGAATAAGCCACTCCGTAATATAAAACTCTAAACTTTTTGCCATGATTAAGTATTACTATAACGAGAAACGACGTCGTATTATTATTATTATTATTAAATTACCGAGCAGTGATTATTGAAACATACACGATTTAAGTCAGAGAGAAAGTGAGTGAGAACTTCATTAATTAAATAGGAATGGAATTGGAAACGGAGGGATAGACGACGGCGGCGGGATGCGCCATGATGCGGCGGCCCTTCATGTGGCGGAAGCAGTAGACGAATGCGCCGACGGGCCACTCGACCAGCGCCGCCGCCGCGAAGGCCAGGAAGCCCAGCGTCGGCCCCACCACCTTGCACCGGCACGGATTGCTCCTCGTCCCGCACTGCACGCATATCGGAACTCCAATCACCGCCATTGATTGATTCTGATCTGATCTGATTATCTGATTTGATATTTATTTGTTGATATACAAGAATAGATTGCTGCTGCTGTTGCTGGCTTCGAGTACTCTGAGTTTGTATCCACGGCCACCAATGAACACCCGATACTGATACTTTTATAGAGAAGATTTGATTCGTGGCGCAATCGCGTCTTGCCACGTGTTGTGCGCTGCCGCCTCTGTTTCCTAAACGTGGCGCTGTTTCATGGGTACACGTACCAATTTTTTTTTGCCTATCTTGGAATTGGAATTGGAACCGGAATGTAACGCTGCTTATTTTACATTATCTTTTATCTATCATTTATATCCTACTTCTTCCGTACCAAATAGCGTGAAATATTTGTGTTTATCACGAGAATTTAAGCTGAAAGTATTAAGTATAGTAATTTAAGATAATTTGGATATTAAGTAATGTGATTGGAAAGAAAAATATAATTTTTTTTGGTAATATGATTAAATAAAGTGAAATGTATATTAATATATATATAAATATTATTAATTATTTTTAAATTTAGAAATATTGCAGTGAGTTTATAACAAATAAAAAAAAATATTAAAGGATATTTGGAATAGAAGGAGTAGTAACTAATATAATATGTAATTATAGAGAGCCGTATTGAATTGAAATGAGGAACACTTATACCATATCGACGAAATTCATTAATTGTCGGTCGGATTGCTATATATATATATAGTTTCTATTGGTATATCTTTATCTACTATTTATTTATGTATTCCTTCCCCATATTAAAATTTTATAATACTGACTGAATTGCTGACTTTGTCATTAAGTTAAAACATTAATATCGAAAATTCGATTTAAATTCGATACAAAAGAATTGTGCTTAGTCATTAAAGCTCGAAATTTTCAGGCTATATTTGGCCCGGCATGCTACTAAACGGAGCAGTATTCAAGCCCATAAAGGATGGATCGTGCCTAGCCGACCCGATTGATTAAAATTAAGATTTAGTATTTAATATATTTATTTATATATATAAACTAATGAAATAATTATAAAAATTAATTCATAGCTTAATGGTAAAATTATATATATGGTTATGAGTTCAATTCTCACTTGGATCCATTTGAATAAAATTTTGATTAAATTAAAAATTCAAGAAAAACAAGTAAAACTATTTAAAATAATAAAAAACGGAACGGCCCGGACGGACCTAATTGCTCATGCCCGGTTCCAGCCCGACATAAAAAAAGTCGAGTCAGCCCCAATTGCCATCCTTAGTACAGGCCCATAAGTCGAATGGAATCGAATTCAAATAATAAAAACAGGCAGGCTCCAACTTAAAATAATTTCTCAAACTTTGCAAAATCTACAATTTCTTGTAATCCAACTCATAAAAGTAGTACCATACCTTACCTAACCAAAGTTATCCATCCATCCTATCACGTGGAGGCCCAGCTCATCATCTATTGACCCAAGTTACAAGAAGATTCAGTCTATGTTTACTTACTACTACCATCACATATATCTTCACCTTTATATCAGAATATAAAAAAGAATAAAATAAAAATAAATGATAATTTCATCATTAACAGGATTTGAAACTGGTGTTCATTTGTGTTTTGAAATATGCTTTCCATTTTTGCTTTCTTCACTAAATACTTTACTCCCCCATTAAACAAATTTAAAATAACAAATTAACAACAAAAATCAAACATGCCAAAGCATCCAAAAAGACAGTATTTCCAACGAACATCAATCAATATATACTCAAATAGAATGGTTGTAGTTACTGTATTAACAACACATTCAATTATGGTAGAAGCATGTGATACAATGATAGACAACAGACAACTTATTCTAATATAATATAAATACAACATCACATGATTATAGTCAAAAAACACAAGACTGCACAATTTCAAATAGCATAGTATGTGCTATGTTACCTCTCTATTTGCTAGTTTTTCATATGCTGATCATTTTTTCCAATCAGCATGCTAAACAATTCCCAAATGGAATGTATGTCCAACCAAGAACTCAACATATGTAATATGCATAGACCCAAGTTACTAACTAATAGAGAACAAAACCAACAACAATTACCATTAAAAAGTTGGTTAAGATCGTTTCAAACCCGGCATGCAGTTTAACTAAATCATCGAATAATCATTTTTATAATAACATTTTGTGGGTTTAACTAACTATCTCTAACAAGGAAAAAAACAAGACTAGTCTCCAGAGTACAACAAAGAAAATTCGTGCCTAGGCCAAAAGAATAAAGGAGATTCCTGACTTTGATCCAAAGGAAACATAACTTTGCCTCAATTAGGCAAAATATATAATTTATGTCATTTAATTAAACTATGATTTCTCAGCCATCCCTTAGAGGGGATTTTGCCAACCATTCCAAATTCTGTAACAGAATCAGATAGGGCAAAAAACAATCTCTATCAGGAACATGTTCTTCCACCACTTTCTAAATGGAACCTATTCTCCTATTAGCTACTACTTTCTGTTACATCTATCTAACCAACCCTCTTAAGTAAAATGGATTTAAGAAAAAGACCTACTGATATAACAACAATTTAATACAACTGGACGACGTCCACCTGTAATTAAGTCCACCTATTAGCACTCTGCCTTTATATCATCATCTATGTAAAGAGTTTCACCTCCCCTCGCCCATTCGAACAATCGCTTAACCAGTAAGCATAAAATGTGCTGCCCTTCAAGGCACTTCAAGCATATAAACTCATCGCAACTTTTTTTATGCCCTTTGTGTCACTAGATTTAACCTTTTGGGTATACCTGGAATGGCACCGAAGATGTACAGATGGAGTCTGTTACTGCTAACAATGTTCGTCCAGTTTCTGGTTTGCTTTACTGCCCATGTCACAGTTTCTGCAAAGGATACAGATCCGAGCATTAAGTGTGGGCAATGCCCTTGTGGTGATCCTTGCAACCAGGTGCTGCCGGATCTTCCTCCTCCATCACCATCACCGCCGCCTCCGCCACCCCCTCAACTTTCACCTCCTGTGGGAGATTGTCCACCTCCACCAACTTTGCTTTCGGAGATCATGCCACCACCACCACCACCACCATCCCCACCACCCCCAAAGCCACAATCCCCACCAAGATCACCGCCACCACCTAGGTTTGTTTACGTGACTGGACCACCTGAAAACTTGTATCCTACTTTGAACCTATACTCTACAGCAGCACATAATGATTATCTGGAGAGTTTCTGGGGGCTTGTTTTGGTGGGATGTTCTGCTCTTCACTTGCTAGCATTCAGGTGACTACAAGAACTTAGCAATCTAGTTCAAGCATGCCTATCTTTTATATGGATTTGTGGGGTGGGTGGGGGTGTCCAATGTCCATCTAAGGTAACCACTTAAAAGGAGTTAATGTTTTTTTCTCGTCATATATTGTAAGGATGATATGTTCTTCATTTTTTTTGATTATCTTTTATTTCAACTCTGAAGAGTTTCAAGTGAATAATGGAAGCAATTGTTGATGCCTGTTTGGTTCTACCAAATAGCAAATAATGTGAAAACATGTTCCTTCAACAATTCCTGACTTTGTCTATATTTCTAGAAGGTAAATGTGTATGGGCATAAATGAATAGCATCCATGTATCAGAGAAGTGTCCTTGTTGGCTGTTCTTACTTTTGTTAATTCACATTCTAATAATCCCCCTCAAAAAATAGGTTTAAAAAAAAAGGCACTACTACAGAAAGTAACTGAGAGAACTCGTTGAGAAAGATGAGATGTTAAACATAAACAAAATATTTAATATAAATAACAGGCAATAGTAATAAAACATAGGAAAACCCTTAATTGTTTCAAAACAAGCATGACCTATATAATACTATTTCTACATGCAAATGTGTAGGGCTCAGCCTGTTTGTCTCTTTATAGCAAAAAATATACAACAAATAATTGGCTGCTAATCTCATATTGGTGGCAACTATGGATGAAGGAAGACAGTTAAATGATTTTGAGGAAATATTCCAAGGCAACTTCTCATTCTTTGCAGCAGCATTTAAGTCGAAAGATAAAGCAGCATTGCACACATAAAGGAATCACATGGACCTGCAATCTAGCGACTTGATTGTCCTCCTACGCCATATTGAAGCCTCAGGGTCAAATCTCAGCTCCCATGTTGGCCAGTAATGCAAGTCCTGCTTTAGTGTCAGCACTCGAGGCTTGCCATTCAAGTGCACCGTTCTTACACGAACAAACTCCCCGTGCTCGATTTCCTATTATTAAGTGCTTCGTATAATTAATAGTTTACAAAAGCAGCCTTACAATTAAAATAAAATAATCAACATAAATAATACTAGATTGCTTTTGGGACCCAGGTAATCAAATGTTTACAACTTCATAGCTCCAACTAATGTCCAAGCCTTCACTATAGAGCATGAGACATACCTTAGTCACAGCAACAAAAGCGTCCAAATCGGGAGTAGGTTCCCCATTCACTTCAACAATCCATTGCAACGCATATAAACCATAGCGATGCACTGGACTCCCATGACACCACCTGAAATATTTAATTAAACCATAAGAAACATAACTTTGCAATTTGGCTACCAAGATTTCAACTTTACAATTGAGTACAATACTTTGGAAGTTCACCAAGAATGATGGTAACTCTAGCTAATAAATTAACTTGAGTCAAAAAGTACACCTGGCCACATAAACACCATGCCCTTCTTCAGGAAGAAATCCAAGAGCTCGGACGGCTGAATGAGGATCCTGAACAATACAACCACACCAATTTATGGCACGAGTGGTTCCGTTCCCATCCCTAACATCTGTTCCAACCACTAGATCGATTTCGCGACCCTGTTAGACATCATAATTAGATATTTCTCACATGTACAAGAAAGAATATATACGGAAAGGAGCAAACTATGTTGTCCAGTAAATGCAGGGCAACTGAAAATGTAGAAACATTAGAAAACCTGACGAAATATTGTCATTGTAAGCTTCCCATCATTCTCAATGCCATTACTGTGGTCTAGTCTTTGGCACGCATCTTCGATATCATGAAAACACGTAACAGGCTCTTTATTGATTGCCAAAACCATGTCACCCTGTTCTAGTAGATTTTCCGCTTTGGATCCTGCTAAACATCCTTTAACCCTTAAAACCTGTCGTCTTATAGGATCTTTTTTTACCAGTGCCTGTATCAATAAAACCAAACCTAGATATAATTCAATATTATGTAAGACTAGAACATATTTTTCCTTGAAGCAAATGTTAAATCATATAAAAGGAGTTATAATCCTTAAGAGCACAGGAGTACAGACTGCACTTTCTGGTAAGGCCAAACTAATCCATGTAATGTTACAGCTATAACAAAATGTGATGGTCAAAATAGGCCATGAAAATCTTCTTTTCTGTATACGTCCAGATAGAAATTCTTCTAGCAGAAATATGTAAATATATGTATGCTAAAAGTACATAAAAACTAGGAACAACTAATCAAGACAGACAAATAAAGGAAATAAAAAACCAAGTAATCCATATGAATCCTCTAACAGAAGCAAGACCCATTTGCCCAAAACAAAAACAACAAAGGAATCAAAATACGGTAATAGGTACAGAAGATATGCATAAAGAATCCTAACTGATATAAAGACACATTAGCCCAAAGTATAGCACTAAGGGAATCAAATTACTGTAACAAGTACAGAAGAAATGCATAAAGAACTACCTGGATCCAGGAGTCATGCAGGCCAAAACTCCTAGCCTTGGAGAGCAAAGTGGGATAAAGTTCAACCTCTAGCATTCTTACAAGTGGCATGGGCCTTTTGATTCCATTTATCAGCAGGGTAGGACCATCCACACCAGATGTGATTTTATCAAGTATCTGGCTTATTGAATAAATTGGAATACCACGAACAAATTGATGGTCTTCAGACGAGCTACAATTATACTTGAGCTGGAAGATTGAAGTCTGTGCTGTAAATTAGAGATGAAGCAACTAGTGTACATGAATGCAAGCAACATCAAGAAAACAAACCTGTGTTGAAAAGCTCCCCCATATAGCTTTAACCCTTCCAAGATCATCTGTAAGAACACCAGAGAATGTACTGCCAAAATCTGAAACATGACGACAATGTAAATCAAGGCCCAATATTTCTTAAACCTGAGGCAAATGACAAGAAGAAAAACCAGACAAGGCTAAATGGATATAGTTGGATAAAGAAAGGCTGATTCATACAAACCTGTATCAAGCTCAATCACTTCCATATTGGTTGCTCTGTATCTTGGACAATCAGCGGAACCAATATTCAGAGCAGCAGAAGGATTTGTGACAAACGATTTCCTAGAAGTTGCTTGTAGGCTCCTACTCAATCCCACAAGGCATACAGAATCTCCACGACGAAGAGCAGGTTCTGAGCCATGAAATATGATAAGCTATTATTCATGCACATGAGAGAGGGAATATAGTAGAATTCAATGAGCTATAAATGAATAACATAAAACAGGTATGATAAGTACAATTGCAAATGCTGAGTCATTGTTCAGGATCATTTGGTAAATTTTTAACAGTGAGGAAAGAGAGGATGAGAATCCCATACCAAAATAACCAAATTCCTTACCATGAACCAATAGTACAGATAGCAGCCATAACACTACATAAAACTAACTATATTCTCTCTCTCTCTCTCTCTCTCTCTCTCTCTATATATATATATATATATATATATAAGCAAATTTTACAGCAGCCTTATCCACTCGATAACTCATGTAACCAGCTAACATACCAGGAAGTAGTTCAGCGGCCCTTACTACAGCAGCGCCAGCACCAAGAGCAGAGGGGTCATATGCAACAAGCACAAAGTTGTGCACAGGATGAAGAAAAACAACCTGTAAAATGTTAAGTGGCTTCTTAGTATCACCTCATCATAGTCTTTTATAGATCAGATGGAATAAAATTACCTCTCCAGGAATTTCAATAGGATAAGCAGCAAAAGACAGCATCACATCAGAGACAGACACGGCAACAGTGTTTTTATCAACAGCAACCAATCCCATGGTTTCAGAGTGATATATGATGACACCAGTTCCAAAGAAATGTTGCGAATGCACCCCATCAAGCATACAAGAAGATGGTACATGAACCTACAAGTTTACAGTTCAACTCAACCATAATAACCAAAAGCTACATTCGCAAGGAATGCGGCTGAATTAATAATAACGCCAATATAAAGCACCAACTGGGTAAGAAGCTCATTCATTAGTGCACCAAGAAAAATGGCTCCTCTACTTTTTTTTCAGACTTTCAATGCTTAATATTCTAGACTAATGAATTTCTGGCCATATGTTCTATAACTTCCAGCTTCAATCATATATAGAGAAGCAAATCACTCTGCCATATAATTTGGTCAGAGTATTGACTGTTTCTGGACAAGCATTGTCCTCTCGAGTGGTGAAGTATGTCCTGTCATGGATACTTTGTCATGCTATTTACTCTTTTAGAAATACAGTAATCTACACTTCTTTATTTTAGTTAAGTCACAGAAATATAGTTGAATATCAATTCCGAAACTAATCAAAATGTACCAATAGGGTCGTCTCACTTAGATCTAAGTGTGGAAAACATTTACACCCTTTCAGATGATGTAGTGGCCATTAAAATCTCCCTGTCTCACCATCAATGCCCTCACTCTCCCAGCAGAAAACATGCAAAAGAGGAAATTTTGAAGAAAAAAAAAATGTTAACTAATAAAGATTAACACCTTAGCCCTGCTTCATCACAAGGACCAACATCCCCCTAGTCAAATTGCCATCATCTGAAACCTCCTATCAGCATTCCAAGCTCAACTTTACAAGTTATAATAACCCATCATCATCCATTAGATCAGCCTACTTGTGTTGCCATAAATTTCTCATGCCAATTGAAAATTAAGAATTTTGAAACAAACAGCATAAAACACATGAAATTATCATTTAATATAGTTACCTCTAACATCACAAGAGTTGGTTCAATCACACGCTCAGCTATGGAAGCATTAGTGGCTCCAGCTGCAGCACTTTGATGATCCCTCAAAACTGTTTGGGTTTCTGTTCCTGTGTCCTCTATTCTTTCTTCCCTAGATTCATGTAAGGAACAGTCAGGTGATAAAGTACCATCAGTCGATAAGTCCTCCACCCTCCTTTTTTTGGTCCCAGCGTCAGATTCATCTGAAGTATGCGGGCCCTCAACAATTTGTTCACAGTTAGTTTCCATATTAGTCACACCATCCATTGCCTCTTGGCCAACACATTGATGTGCTTGTTCTATTGGAGTGACCTCAGCAGCACATGATGAAATTCTATTGCTTGCTAAATCTCGTTCAATGTCATTGACCAGAGGTGATAAGAGTGGAGAGTCTGGTGGCAACACAGGTTTTACAGTCCACAAGCCACAAGTATCATCACGCTTGTATATTTGAGGAGGAGCATACCACTCATGGCGATCAATTGTCACTAGGACAGACTGCAGCAAAAAAATCATTTTTAAAATTCTTCCAAAACTCAACCAAAAAAGTATTCCACTATACAACTCAAAACGAATAGCTCATGTCTTAGTCTACACAACATAGTAAGATCCTTTCAAAGAAATAGACAGACATTACAGCACATACTAAGTTATTTAAACCAAAAAAGTTTTATATCACATTGAATGGGGTTGTACATAATGCTATTGAGGCATCATGATTACCTTTCTACGGTGACGATCTGTATGACTTATATACTCTAATGGTACCCTTGCACCTCTTGATAGTTTAGAGAGAGCAGAGATAAAATCTTCAAGTTTCAATATGTCTTCACCAGCAAACTTCTTAATAATAGCATGCCGTGGAACCCCCGCCCTGAGTAACATATATCTGAGACACATAACAAATGATTAAATGATGTCAAATTCAAGTTTAGGTAGATGCTCGGACATGTTGGAGAGTGGAGAACAGTAGAACACCTCCATAATACAGAGAACAAAGGACAGGACAATTGAAATTGAGTTATGCTGAAGTATAAATTTGCATTACCCTTGTTCTGCAACATACACAAGACCACATTGAAATCGGAAGTTCCTGGCCTGTATGCAAAATGAACAAATTTATGGCAAAGAACAAAGTACAGAACACAATATAAAATGACCTAGACCAACAGAACATAATTTGCACAAGCTAGGTTTAGGAGTTAATTGTAACATAAAAAGAAATGTTGTGTTCCCTAATCACCGTCCGCATTGCCTGCAGAGTTTTCAATATGTTTCTTCTGAAGTTGTTATGATCCATTATTCTTCGGCTGTGTTCTTTTATCAAACATTACAAAATTTCAACTTTTAACCCATTTTTTTCCTCAAAAACATCGAATCAAACATATATTTTTTTTATTATACTAAAAATCAATTTAGCATTCAAAACATCGCATCAATATCTATTTATATAACATCATACAATTATTTTATTTAAGAAACTTTACTATTCAAATCCCAAATCCAAAATTCAAACCCCCAGACAGACACATGCCCGAATTCATAGACGGCAGATGGAACCTTATTTGTTTAAGGATGCACCATTTTTATTTTCTGTTTTTTACTTTGGTTTTATGCCAAGATAGAAAAATACTTGATATTGACAAAGATTAACAATATAAACTTCTAGGCATCGACGGAGTATCTTTATGCTCCATTCTGATGCATTGTGGGAGTTGTAGCCATTTTATGCATGACACTAATTTACAATACTCATACTAATACACTTGGAGGTGATTGTTTTTATATGGTTTTCTAAATAAATATCCTACAATTGGTAAGATGGAAAAGAAGAAAAGCCTTTTACATTAGCATTCAAGATATAGAGCCACATTCAAATGAAGCAACAAATAGAAAAAGAAAAAGAAAAAAATCAGAACGGAATTTTATCTGTCTGGCAACAATTGATTGGTCCAAAGAGGTTTGCTTTCCATCATCTTCATTGTGATACTACCTTTCCCTCTTCCCAAAACAAGCAGACTACAATTGGTGATCATTTAGTTCATTGTAGTCGTTAGATAATGTAAAGGCTTATCCTTAAGTTCAGAGGTTGGGAGTTTTCTATCTGAAAATTTCATTAACCATATCCACGGTAGTTTGTGACTATGTTTTATATTTGAGTACAGCATTCACTAAATACAATCATTAGGCCACAAAATTCTCAAAAGACAGACAAAGAGAAAGAGAAGTTTCGGCCAACCTGCTGATATGACAGAGGGTGAATAACAGCACCACTCACTTCAAGAAAGCAATCTGGAGTGATAGAGTGCAAATCCTGAACCTGAAATACATTAAGAAAAGAAGATATATGCAATATAAGGACCTTATCAATGTGCTCTTGGTTGACCAAAACTTTGAATACATAGAAAAAGATCTAACAAATAAAAAAGGATATTAGAACATTTTAGGGTTCTATTTTTCCATCTAATATAAAGGTAAATAGCTACAAAACAAGCAATTTAGACATTTCAATACCATGATTCTAAATATATATATATATATAATTATTTATGAATTTCCAATGCAACAACAGTAACTACTTATCCCACAGTCTACAACTGTTGAATGGAAATTCACATAGATCAGAATCTTACTAATAACTTTAATTCAATTACAGGATTAAATTTAATTATATTGGGGAGAAATACCAAAGGGCAGGGCATAGGCCTGGTTTGTATTCTATACATTGAAAGGATTTCAAGCTTAAAAATAATTTCACCAGTCTCATGATGCAAATTTCAAAATTCTATGGAAGTTTCAGTAATTACAGCTAAACATGAAATCTCACCGTTAAATCTAAAGTCAACGGTTTACCACCTCTTTCAATTTGAAGTTCAACTTTATCATTAACACTATCATCAAGAAGATTTTCCATCTTCAGAAACTGGGTGGTCACCTGCACAAAGTTCTTGAATTAATATATTTAAAATAAAAGGTAGTAATTTATAAAACATAAATAATTGTAAATAGCATACACATGGCATGGCACAAGGCCTTTTCCCTGCCGTGGAGCATGGCACGGCAGGTGCCCAAAGTAATAACTCCAACCATCACTTGTTTAAAAAGTAGATGACAAGTTGCCAGACCACAATATTCCATTTATATACTTGGGAAATTGTTTCAATAAAGGATAAAAGTGGGAAAAGCATAACATTTGTCATAAAAATTTCCAAGCAAATCATATTCAATAAGGGATAGATAATAATAGATATAGCTGCCAAAAATAAATTAACGCAAGCATACCTCACCATTCAACCGAATAAGCACATCACCTGGCTCCAAGCGTTTGTGAGCTGGGCCCTCAGGTACCTAAAACCCACACAAGAGCATGGCCGATTTATTTATACCAAATAGATAATAAAGAAACAATAAAAACAAAGAGTATCAGGTTTGATGACCAAATTACTAGGATGAACTGTAGGATGACAATATAACAAAGGATCAGTACTCACAACTGAGTCAACAACAAGCATTCCTGTTTCCCCAGTTGGAGAAGCATGGCGCACTAACTGAAACATAGAAACAAATACAATCATTGGGTTGGTTAGATTATTAGCGGGGCTATATATCTATGATTAAAAGAACTTGAAACTGAAGATGGAAACGCATGATAAAAAGAACAAACAATAAAGAAAATACCTGTTCTGTTTCACTTCTGAATCCAAGCCTTCGCGTCTCATCAAATCCTTTGTGGAGAAATGTGGCCTATATCATGAATATGAGAATGAAAGTCAACATATAATGCACTAAGAGGTTCAAAATATACAGAATTGTGATTATATGCAACCATCTTGGTTTCAAGTTCTTCAAAAATATTTATTAATATGAGAGTAAACAAACAGTACTAGCCCTGTTTCAAACTTACAACCTGATTTCCAAACCCCCATCCTTAACCACAACAGAGAAAAAAGAGAAAAGGAGAAAACAAAAGGTTTGTCCATTGCTGTTTTACTATACATACATATTTTGTCCTTTCAACTATGGCGGATACTACATCCTCAATACAATAATTTTCTTCAGCTATGGAAGATCAAATCACACAGAGCACATCAGAACTTCAAAATATTCAGGCAGCATATAGATTAAATGAAAAAAAAAAAATTACTTTTGGTCTTAATTCGTTTGAACATTTCTTAAAGGAAAAGGAAAGTTGAGCTATCTGTTGGAAACAGTACCAGATGCTGGAACGGCAAGACTTGAAGCATGGGGAGAAAAGAACTCAATGATCATTTCTTGGTGTTATTGAATGCCATGATTCTTAAGAAAAATGATAAAAAAAAAAAACATGTTTCTTATACAGCTAAGGCAATTTAGGATGCCCTTCATCAGACATTCCAAGGTTAATGATGCAATACTTATCAATAATATCAAGACAAAGACAATGGAAGCAAAAAAAGGTACGAAATTAGTGAAAGAGTATGACAATTTTTTTGCAAAATCAGTGGCAGGAACTTGATTATTGTACAACACTTGATTTAAATTGTAGAAAGCGTACAGTCTTTATCAAAAGGTTCATAAATAAAGATTGTTATGATTTTTTTGGTTGGCCTATACTTTGAATTTGACCTGGTACTAATTCAAATTTGGGTAGAACAGGATTCCCCTCTCTAACTAAAACAATACCTCTAGCACATGTGGAAGAAAGTTGTAAGGGACTAAGGGTATCATGTTAGAAATACCATCAACATAAAATTTTGTTTTTTCTAAGCTCCAAACATCTGATGTTGGTACTAAACAAGGTTGCTACAGAGAAGCCAAATCAAACAAATGGGCAAAAGAAACACGGTGAATGGTAGTAAAACTACCGCAAGAAACCCATACACACCAAAGAGCAATTCTACAGACTACTTGGGAAACCACCCACTCCAAAGAGCAATTCTACAGACTACTTGGGAAACCACCCACTTGCAAATGGGGACAAGGAAGCCAAGAAATTGTATATATATTTATTAGAATATAGAATTGAAATATACAATTCCTCGTGTTCTTTTCTACACTCAGTGTTCAGGTCCTTAAGAATGCTTGCACCAAACAAAGCATGAGTTTAGCTGCCTCTATTATAAAATATTTTTATTATATAATGCTTTAATCAGTGTAATATAGTTTCTCCAATAATATCTTCAAAACATCTTTACCTGCATGTCAATTTTCAGTAATACATCCAATTACAAGGGTCACAATTTCCCAAAAACATGATTTAAAAAAAAAATAACATTTATTTTGTAGTGCAAGTAGAATAGTGTACATTTTTTCCCATTCAAAGAAGCATGGAAAATATAATTAATATAGGCATAGTTCTAAATATATGATGATAAATTTTCGTAAGAACTATAATCCTAACATAACTAAACTATATGAACACAGCCCAAAAGAACATAAGCAAAAGACTAACATAAAAATAATGAGGAAAGAACTAACAAACCTGAAGCGTACCACGGGGAATTGTGACTGCCTCCCATGTAGTACTAAATGATTCTATTCCTTTCTGCAAGTATCTCAAGGCCCTTACAACCTGATTTCCAAAACAATCTTTTAAGAAAAGATAAAAGAATCTTAAGCATAATTTAATAAAACTTATGTAACTTAAATTCAACTCCTCATTCAACAAACACAACATCAAGTACAAGCTTAAACTTCTGAAGTGTGCAATCTCTTGCTCATCACATCTGCATGGATGGCTCACATTCAAAAAAAAAAAAAAAAACAAAGAGTTGAAATAATAAGGCCATGAAAAGATTGTCCAGAAACCCATTGGTGCCCCATTTCATGCTACGTAGAGTCTTAGCTGATGATAACTATTTAGCAATAAAACCTCGAAATGGAGAACAAGGACTTATTTGAGTCATGTCATCTTACCCCTTCGGTATACCCATAATACAACAAATGTACAAAAGGAACTTGCATCCACACATAAAGTCTTATATGAGCTATAGGAAAAATGATATCCACTGGCTTGGAGAAGTGGTTGAAGGATCACCATTTTAAGACACAAAAATAAAGCATTAACAAGCATAGGAAACATATATGTATCCTAAAGATGAATATACAAACAGATGCAGCAATAGAAAACTACATTAGATCATGAAGCCTTTGCAAATGGGAAAATACATATTCAGGTTAATATAGCATTGTTTCATAGAAAATACAGAATATCAATTAAAGGTCATCTAAATTGGAAAACATTTTCTTGTGAACATGTTCTTACTCTTTCTAAAGGCAAGAAAAATGCTGAAGCACTAGATGTCTTGCTCCCAGCATTCAAGGCAACTGCTCTGCCTTGCCAATCAATAACAGGAGAACCACTTGAACCACCTTTTGTCCCAGAAGCTGCCTGTTTCCCAGAGATGGGTAAAAAACAGAAAAGAATGCAGAAAGAGATGTGCGACACATTAAGAGAACTGAAACTACTGATCAATACAAAAAAATAAAATAAAATAAAATGGAAAACTGCTGATCAAGACACTATGGGTGTGTTTGTTTGGGGGTTTGGATTTTGAGTTGGGATTTGAATAGTAAAAAAATTTGAATTATATGATGTGATATAAATAGGCGATGATGTGATGTTTTGAATGTAAAATTGATTTTTAGTATAATATAAAAAATGAAAAATAAGTGTTTGATTTGATGTTTTTGGGGGAAAAATTTTGGATGAATAGTAGGATTTTGTTAAAATCCTACAAACGAACACCCCCTATATTCTACGAATACCATTATATCAGTTTTCCATTTCTCATCACCAATAATATCCTCCTTTAATATTTTCTTTTTCCCCCTCATATTTTACAATTTCATGAACTAGCTGATAAGTCTCTCAGTTACTCAATGAACATCCACAAAATTAATTACATTGAGAGACAAAAACCATTTTTCCAGATCATGGTGAAGGTGCTCGAAACAATTTTGTTTTGGGGTCTGAAGTAATAATAATAATAATAATAATAATAACAATAATGAATGCAGGAAGCCAAAACATCAAGCACTTTGCATATTAAGGTACTCCTGCCAAAATACTTACTTGCATGTAGAATGTATTGAAGTCATTGTAACCATCCCTGCATAAATGACAAATTTTCAATATCACGGCAACCTGGAAAACAGCATAAGATTTCACAATAAAAACTAAATATTGCTCTAAAACAGCTTAAAAGAATGGTAACACATGATCCAAGGAAGCTATGCCATCAACCATACTGTGTGGCATAAATTTCATAGATGTGCAAAATTAACAAGAAAAAAAATATGTACACTAAATATATATATATCCAGTACATATTACATTGTTCTCTAAAAGAAATAAACTTAGTTTATATGAATCCAAAACTACTAGTAATTATCTATTACTTTACCAATGATCATATAATTTCGACCCAGCGATCAAGCACATGTAGATTAGAAAATATCTCATAGAACTCATACTTTTTATAATGTGGAGCATCTCTATCCAAACGTGCAAGAGTTCCAGCCAAAATCGAAACCTACAACATTGATAGAAAAGTTGAAAATGTTCAATGTCAAAGAGCAGGGGATGAAGTGGTACAATAAATTGAACAGCAGAAACTACACATCATAGAATTCATAACGATATGTCAAAACATACTAAATGGTAGCCTCGACATACAATCAGACAAGGCATGACAATCAGTCAGTAACCACTTCACGTCATTACAACAAATATTAAATGATACAGATGTAATGTGTAATTAATGGCGAGTTATCCATGATAGAACAGGATATATAGATTTCATGAGAAAAGCTACTGGACACAAACCTTTTCTCCGCTATCATTCCCAACCACCCTAATTTCAAGCCCCACACATGCAGCTTCAGGTGAAAGAGGAATCTCCTCATAGCTAAGGAATTGTATTGAAGAAGGGTTGTAGCCAAAGAAGCCAAAATCATGAACCTAGGGGTACAAATTACAAAGGTCAATATTGTGAAATTACATTCTAAGAATAATATCAATCAAGCTTAAGCAGAATTTATTGAACAAGTGGAGGCAATCTCTCCGGAAAGAAGATTAATTTAATGTTAAAAATCTACCACCAACTCAAAAGACTCTTAAAACTAAAATGAGTTGCACATATGGCAGTGAATCAAGGGAAACTCAAAAATATCTAAGCCCATATCATCAAATGGACTTTGACTTGGTTCATTTTGCAATTATATTGACACTAACAACATGAAACTAGATCACAACTGATAACGATAAATTAGTATAGGAATAATTAAATATGGCATATAACCTATTTCAAAGGAATATATGCACTAAGAACACAAAGAAATAAGAGCACACTGGCTCAGAAAATTCAAAAGAGACCAAAGTCAAGATATAAAGCTAAACTGCCTTGCATATTGAATACAGCTAAATCTACTAAGAGCCATTTATGTAATAACTTTTGTAAGGTAATGATGTGCAAAAACATCTTAATCACCAGCAGACAGTTATGAAATAGGTCCCCTTTTGTATCACTTACAGATATTGCACCAGGGCCCCCTCCTTACATTTATCTGATACCCCATCAAACATAGTTGCTAGTAGTTTCAAAATCATAAAGTTTCTCGGTGTAAGCATCCAAAAATTTTCGTGATATAACCCATTTGAGGAACTTATTACTACTTTGTGATAACCATTTTCTACAAAAAGAACTAAGAATAAATACAGGCCAAAATGATAGGGACGGGCTGTTGACACATAAATGATAAAAGGTGATACAACTTACGGACTAAGCATTGTTCTAATAAACTAAATGTATAGAATCGACAACTAACAGGATCTCTATAGATTGGATGAACAGGAATTTCCTCGCGGTTCACAAACATGGCTTCCGCAACAACCGGTCCTACAACAAGGAACAGCAAGAGTCATTTCAAAAGCTTTCTGGAAAATGAAATTGCAGCGATAAAGCTCCAAATAAGGTCAAAGTTTTCAACCAGGTTTGACGACATGGCGATTGGTGAGAATAATCCCACGACGCTTGTCCACCACAAAGCCAGTAGCATAGGAAGCACTGGCGGACTCGGTGTCGAAGGCACGGCAAGAAGTGGTGCGAAGGACCACGACAGCGGGAACCACCTTGTTGAGCGCCTTCCGCCAGTCCTCGGCGGTCGCGACATTCTCCTTGAAAGAAGAATCGATCTCCATGCAAAGATCGTCCCTCATATTCGCCTCCATCCCCGCCAAAGCCGCCTCCGATCCCAACCTCTCCATTTCAGCAGCTCAGTTCCACCTCACGAAAACCCTACTATTTAATCGCGATTATTGACAAACAAATCTCTCCTCCTCCTCAACAGCGAGTCAACGGGTCCTACACCGAGAGAGAATCGGCGAAAAAACAGGAGACCAAATGAAAGAATATTCCGGCGACGGCGCCGGCAGGTGCGGTGGTTTCGCACTTGAATTCGAGAATCGGAAATGCGGAGCCCTTCCCTTTGGTACTGTAGTTAAATCCGAACCAAGCAATTAATATATATATATATATCTTGAAACACATGAGAAGTGGTACGGATTGACTACATCTTATTATGTAAATAATATTTGTTATTTTAGGCAGTTGTACTTGTCGGTAATATTACAGTGGAGTATGGATAAATTGGTAAATTGGTCAATCACTGTTGTTAATTATATTGGGATATTAGGTGTTGTTAAAGGTTTGTGTTTTTTCAACTCCATTTATTAATTTGTAGTGATTTACTTGTAGAAAATATATGGATATCATTTTGTGCATAGTAATATTTACTTTAATACAATAATTTTTTTATAATTTCTGAAACCTATGATATATTAAAAAAATCAATTTAAAACTAATGCAGGTGTTTTTGAGTTTGTTGGGCACGTAAAACAAAAAAAATTTGTGGCGAACTGGACGGTTGATCATTTCATATATTTATATTATTTTTTTATCGAGATTTAAAATTGTGCCCGAATGGACGGTTCACTTCTTCCTCCTTCATATAACGTAATTTTTTAAAAAATATTTAGAAATTACAAATTAATTTAGATAATTGTGTACATAATAAAATATAAAAATTAGAGAAAAAAATATAGTATAATATAAAAAAATATTTTTAAAATGAAAAATAAAATAAAATAAAATAAAAATTGGACATTTATAAACCAAAAACAGAAGAATATTAAGTATAATGTAAAAGAATATTTTTAAAATGAAAAAAAAAAAAAAAACTCTTTTAAAATTGATGGGTTGGACATTTATAACCCAAAAACTAAAGAATATTATAGTTTCTTTGTAGCCCACTCCACGTTTCGTTTCGCGTTCTTGTGAGTCTACTAAATCAGCAGTCTGGTCTCCTGTTGTAATAGCAACCGACTTGAGGTTCGTCGTCCTTCAATAATGGTAAAATTTTATATTATTAAAAAAAGCAATCACAATCCGCAAGAAGACTCTCCTTTTTCCGACCGACTAATTCGGTCAATCCGACTGGACGGAATACCTCCTGCCCCTTTTATATGATGTAGTTTCGAAAAACTTTTTAGAAATTACAAATATATTAATTTAGATACTTTTGTACATAACTGATACCCATGTAGTCGTACGGAAGGCTACCTGTTATTACGTAAATGTCCTTATTACTGTAATATTTGTTATTTTAGGCAGTTCTACTTATTGGTAATATTGTAGTGGAGTATGGGTAAATTGATCAATTAACCCCACTGTTGTCAGTTATACTGGGATATTGGAATATTGGGTGTTGTTGAAATATTGGGTGTTGTTGAGGTTTGTGTTTTTCCAATTCTATTTGTTAATTTGTAGTGATTTACTTGTAGAGATTACTGGTAATATATTGTAGTGATTTTTTTAATATTTTATTAAAAAATTAAAACATATTAATAAATAAATTTCAAACTATATTATATTTTACTTTTTTTAATTTTTTTCTGTATTATTAAAAAAATAATTGTCTACAAAATGATATATATTTCAAATTTTAAATTAAATTTTTAAAATTTCATTATATTAATATGAATATATAGATTTAAATAAATAAATAATATAAATATAGATATTTTGAAATAAAAATGAAGTGGTCGAGGGAATTGGTCGGATGAGAATGAGGAGAACCGTCCATTCGGTTGGCATAGAAAGAGGAGAAAATGAAATATAATCAATTATATAAATATATATTTTTATATTATACTTTGGTCGGATGAAATGAGGAGAATTGTCCAGTCGGTTCGAAAGGAAAGAGAAGAGGAAGTGTCTGGTCGGATGAGAAGGAAGAGAACCGTCCGGTCAGTTGGCATAAAAATAGGAGAGAATGAAATATAATCAATTATATAAATATATATTTATATATATGTGTGTGCAATCAACCAATTTTTTTTTAAAAAAAATTATCTGTGGCCTACTCGACGTGTGCCTCTTGGTCAGTCGACTAAATCAGGCGGCTAGTCTCCTGTTCCAATAGCAACCGACTGTACGTTTATGCTCCTTCAATAATGATGTTATTTTATATTGTTAAAAAAAACCATCTTAACCGACCGGAAGACTCTCATTTTTTCATCCGCCTAATTCGGTCCGACATTTTTTTTCCCTTTTTGGTCTATTCTCTCATTCTCTCTCATAAAGGTTTATTTATTTAAATGTATATACATAAAAATTACAAATATATTAATTTAGATAAATTTGTCCATAATAGAACTGTTTTATAATGTAAAAAAAAAATTATAAATTACAAATATATTAATTTAGATAAATTTGTACATAATACAATTTTTTTATACAGAAATAAAAAATAAAGTATAATATAAAAGAATATAATTTTATATAATTTCTTTGTTGCCGAGTCGACGGTTCACCTCCATCGACTAAATCAGCCGCCTGGTTTCCTATTTCAATAGCGACCGACTGTACTTTTATACTCCTTCAATAATGGTATAATTTTATATTGTTAAAAAAATCCATCCGAAACGTCCGGAAGGCTGTCCTCTTTTCAACCAACTAATTCGGTGAGGCATTAGATTTTTTTTTTCTTTTCCTTTTTGGTCTATTGTTCACCTCTTGCTTCTTCATATAATGTAATTTCTAAAAAACATTTAGAATTTAACAATAAATTAATTTATATAAATGTATATACAGATAAATTACAAATATATTAATTTAGATAGATTTGTACATAATAGAACTTTTTTATAACGTAAAAAAAAAAAATTATAAATTACAAATATATTAATTTACATAAATTTGTCAACCTTTCTTTTTTTTTTTTAATTCCCTCTCTCATAATGATTTACATTTATATTATATATATAAAAAAAAAAAACTCCATTCCAACCAACCTGACCGGAGTCTTCCCTTCATCCGACCAATTAAGTAAGACTTTTTTTTTCTTTTTTTTTTTCAAAGTTTTTGTAATTATTTTCTTTATTATATTTATATTTAAACTTATACATTTAGATTCATGTCATCAAATTTATAAAATTAAAATTCAAATATAAACAAAAAAAGAAAGTAGTCCTTCAAACGCCAAAAAGAAAAAAAAAATCTAATGTCTGACTGAATTAGTCGGATGAAAAGAGGAGAGTCTTCCGGTCGGTAGGGATGTTATTTTTTTAAAATATAAAATAATATCATTATTGAAGGAGCAGAAACGGATAGTCGATTGCTATTGGAACATGAGACCAGACGTCTGATTTAGATTACTGAGAATGAGGCGGAAGGTCAAGCCCGCCAAAAAGTAATTTTTTTTATTTTATTTTTTATTTAAACTTATATATTTAGATTCATGTCATCAAGTTTTTAATATTCAAATTCAAATTAAAATATATCCATGTATATATCATTACACAATAGCTTATCAAATAATAGAGAGAAAAAATAATATAACACAATGTTTAAAAATATCAATATTATATTATTTGGTAGAAAGGAATAATTTCATTACACTAAATTAAAATAACTAAAGAAAAGTATATTTAAAAAAAAAATTGAAGAAATTAAAATTTATTTTTATTCAAATTCCTTGCTTACACAGTTCTTGACATACCCTGTTTTGCATTAAATGCATATACGTCCTCTATTACTAACCTATAAAAGGCATTATTACCTGTTATCTAACAGTAATTATAACAGTCAGTCTTTACAGTTCTGAAACGTTGTATTAATTTCTACAATTCGTAGCTCACCTAATCCTTAAATTACGCGTCCTCTTCGACTCAACTAACACGTTAGTTATTATCTCATTTTTTCCCTCACGTACAAAGCATGTACAAACTTTACGGCACGAATGGTTTGTTATGAGTACGTTAACTATGTCTCCCGCGTACTTAACTGCCACGAACTACCTAATGTCTGTTAATGAATACAATGTGATCATAGACTTCGATAGTCGACCCTTCTACCACCCTTCCACAACCTTGTCGAAAGTCTAGCTTGAACTATTCAAGTGCAAATATGGAATTTTGTGAAGGTAAGGTGGAGAATTGTGATGGAAATTTTATTTTCTAAAATAATATGTAGGAATTAAAAGAAAATGGGGAGAAAATCAATTTGTTCGAGATACAAAATCGAAAAACTCGTATTATTAAACTAGATAAAAATATAGAGGAGAAGAAATAGAGAAAATAGAGTATGGAATGATTTATTGTATGTATGGTTATGTATGTAAATATACAATGAGATGGAATATTTATAGGGGACGAAAGCTTCTAGAAGCTTGGCAGTTACAACTCTCATAAATAACTACCTCTAAAAATAACTGCTAATAACTATTTATAACTTACTAATAATTACCTATCTTCTAGAGGGTTCTAGGATAAAATACACAAAACAACAAAAAATTAGCTAAATAATAGCGTATGACTTAAATGGGTAGCTTGGAGAGATATATGGTGCATTAAATGTAGCAGCTCCAGGTGCAGAAGACAATAAAATTGGCTGGTGCAGTAAATGCGCCGCTGACCAGCGGCAATAAATGCAGCCGCCGCTGACTAGCTGAATTGAATGCAACCGCCGCTTGCTGCTTTCCGTGCTAATTAAATGTGGCGGCTAGCTGTTAATGTTTCGCCGACTTTTGTGCTGCCGCCACTTCACTCAATTTTATGCATGGCTTTCCGCTTCGCTCAATTTTTTGCGCTCATAAATGCAGAAACCGCTCACGGATTATGATAAGAGGACTGACATCGCTTGCAGCGGAGTTCTCGACTCTAAGTAGGATTCCGAGCGGTGACCGCAAGAGCAGAATCAAGCGGGGGAGCCTTCGTTAGGTAAAAGAGATTTTCTTCAAAGAGCCGCATCCAATGTAGGAAACGGGTGCCGATGTAACATGGAGGGATGAAATGCCTCAGACTCTGGACGAAGAGCGATCAAAATCGAAATGAGATGAAGATGATCAGGGCTGATCTCAGCCTGATCCAACCGATGTCAAATGGGTTGCACTTAAGCAATAAAGTCGTTGACAGATTGTGCTGGTTCCTATATTTGACCATGAAGTGTACTCCAGAGCTAATAATAATGCGCCAAACCAGTAGCATGGAAGTAGACTGCCAAGAAATCCCAAGCTGCTTTAGCGGTTTCAAATTGGGCAAGCTGCTCCTGTATCGCCGAAGTGGATGTATTACACAATCAGGTAAGAATCTAATGATTCTTACTGTCCCAATCCTCCAATTTTTCAATATATGACTCAACAGTTTTAGGGGTAGGTGATAACCCCAAATATTAGCATATTTTTCGATTGAAAAAACAGTGTATTACTTGAATTTTTGTATGAAAACAATCACAATATTTGTTGAGATTATTAACGTTTTTAGTCTTTTTAAGAGATTTTTATGGTCCAGAAAAGCTAAATTTTTAAAGTCAAGCGACGGCGTCTTGGGCTTGGCAAGCGACGCTCTTTCCGCTTGTGCTGGCGCCAACAACCAGACATCCACCGCAGCGAAGGGAGAGTGAACCACTCTAGAAATTCACTAAGTGTTCATCTTTGAGTGGTCTTGCCATTCCGATACCAGCCAGCGATGACAGCATCGCTTGATCTGCGCTGATGCCCTACAGCAATCTAGGCAAGCGAGGAAGGTTTGTGTCCTTACAGTCTAAAGCGAGCGAAGCACCCAGTGAGTTATGGCCGGTGCAACTGCTTCAACAGATTAACCGCCGTCAACCGTCTAACTACCCAATCAGTTCCAACTACCGCTCAACTGCTCTGCAACTGCCGACCTCTTAAATCTATAAATAAGGCCAGACTCATTTTTTTTGTAAAAGAAACACGAATACATGCATTCAAGTGTTCATTTTGTGCAGAGTTTTAGTTTTTTCCGAAAGCTCCAACATTGTAGAAGAGTTCTGTATATAGGAATGGCTAGAGGAGTTGAGATTTTCTCCTCCTCTGGCCACTCACTTTGCTGCTTTCTAGAATAGTTTACTGCTTTGTTTTCTTGCTTTTGTAATGTAGAGTTTTACTTTTTTCTTTAGTAAGTAGGGAAATATCAAGATTTCTCCATTTTCACTTCTATCCAAGAGTCATATTTGTGTCTAAATTTTAGGATTAGAATTCTATTTTGTTGTGGAAAAACAGAGAAGAATAAACTATTTTAGCGTAGTTTCGTGTCGTATTTATTAACATATTATAGGTAGTTCAACGTAGCTAAGTACGCGGGAGCCTTGTCGACCTGCTTAGTTGCTGATCTGAATTCGATTTTGATAAAAGAAAGGTAACTGAAGGTTAAATCCATTAATGAGACAGAGATTAGGACAATTAATGGGGCATAGCTGTGGATCTATTGGGCAACATAATTTCTAGTGACAGTAGCATTTCTTGCTTATAATGTTCTGATTCTGGGCGAAGTCTTGTTGTAAATTCCTTAAGATCAAGTACCAGTGAAGTTGTTTTATGTGTTAATAGTTTTTACGCAGTTACATTCACTTCTTCTGTCGTTACGTGTTATAAATATATGTTTCGATTACTCACCTTCCTCATTCGCTCATTGTATTCATGAGAACCTTGCCATCTAATAACATACAATGCAGACACGGCATTATCTGAACCTCCTCACTGCTCGCCTACTATCATTCACATATCATATATATATAATATTATAGGAGCTCATTGTGGCCTCCGCCACAATGTAAAGCATGAATTTAGAGCAATTTTAAATTTTTTTTTAAAAATTTTTGATTGGTTAAAGCATTGTGAGCCAATATGTTTTAGATTCGTCGTGTAATTTGATTGGTTGAAGTTATTTTGTATTTTTTTTATTGATTGTATAATTTGATTGGTTTAATTATTTTGTATATATATTTTTTTAATTGATGATACAATTTAATTGATTATTGATCATTTCTTTATAAGTTTATTTTCTTCAATATATTTTTAATACATTTAATATATATTTATAGTGTAGGATATTTATGTTATTAATTTATTATTAATTAATATTTATTTTTTAAATATTTCAAATCTAAAAATTATATATAAAATTATCAATTAGTATAAGATTTGAATTAATTATTTTAACATACGTTATTATTTATTTTATATAAATAATATATATTATATTTACATAAATGATTAATTAATATATCTATATTTGAACTCAATGTGGGACCCACCTTTTCAAAAAATATGAATTTCTATTTATTTTGAATTTTGTTTTATTGGCTGTACAATTGGATTGACCATTGCAAATAATAATTTTTATATTTTATTTAAATAATATGTAAGACATATACAATGGTTATTTATATATTTTTCTTTCTTTTTAATTGTTGTATATATATATATATAAATGATACTATATTAAATTATTTATTTCATATTATACACAAAATCATATGTGATGTAATTGTATCTTCACTTATTTCTAATTACTTTTTGTATTGCAAAAAATGTATTTAGAATTAATAATTATTTTTTAAATACGTGCTATATTAAAAAAATAAAAATATGTGTATGTAAGTGTAGTATATAAGTTAATTAATATTAACTAATTTGAGCTTATCCAATATTATATACATAATTGAAATTGTATATAACAAATTATTATTATTATGATTATGCATTTATTCATATTTAAAAAATTATTTATAATTATATATTGGTAAAATTGTAATAAAAAAAAATTAATTGTATAGTATAATAGCAATTATTATTATTATTTTTTAATTGTATATTTCTTTAAGCCAACTATCTATATAATGAAGTGAATCTCCTAACTGAGAACCACATAAACCCCGCCATGAATGATATCTCCGGCAAAGAAAAATCAGAAATTGTTTATGTCAAATGAACACCCGGCCAGCTTCAGGAGAGCCTTCCGGCGAGGAAACGGAAGTCGGCAAGCATGAAATCTGCGTTCCGGAATCTAAACTCTAAGAATATCGTAACGGCACCGACCATAGCAAGACGTAGTCCTTTAATGCGTTCTTCTCGAGCTTATGTTGGTGGTGGCAACCTCTCAATGATGGTATAAATTGGCGCTGTGGTCGACGGAGAAGCGGCGAAGAACGGTGGTCGTTAGAATTCTTCTTCTGGAATGTAGTCTCGGCCATCAGAAAGAATATAACTATATTTTTTTTGTATATTTCAAGTTATTTGTTTCTTAAAATAAGTACTTCTGTCATTTATTTAATGAAAATATTTAAATGCAGACCTAATGCATTTGCTATATTGGAGGGATAGATTTTGAATTATGAATGTTAGGATTAAAATTAATTATTAGTTAAAAAAGTTTTTATTAGTAAGCTTTTTAATTTTTATATTTTAAAATTTAAAAATTGAAAATCTATATAAAAAAATTAATTTAAATTTTAACAACACTTTATCTAAAAATTTTATAGTAACATATAATAACACGCATTAGAGTTTTGGTAAATAGTAAGTTTGCACATTTGTTTTAAAATCATTTTAAAAGTACCTGTACTTCTAGATTTTTACTTTTTTTTTTCAACTTCTTTTTTATTTTTTTATAATATAATATTTTTGTTTTGTTCACTACCAAAAAATTGCCCATTTGTAACGAAATCTCATTCGCAACAATTTCTTCGTTACAAAAGTTATTTTTTATTTCTGATATTTTCGTAACAAATAGTTCTTCTAAGTTTGGTCAACTTTTTTACTTTTGTTGGGGTATATTTTTCGATACAACTACAATAATTTTAATTTTAAATTTTAAAATAATATTATACATATACATATATCATATATATATATATAATATTAAATATTAATATATACAAACTGAAATTAAAATAATTGTTCATTTATAATTAAAATTACTTTATACAATTAAAAATTAAAATAAAAATAAAAATTAAAACTAGGACCTAGACTCTCCCCATCCATTTCTTCATCTTCATCTGTTCGTTCTTCTTCTTCATTTTGTCCTGTTCTTTCTTTTTTCTTTTTTTTTTTCTTCTTCTTCCCGTACTTCCTCCTCCTCCTCCTTTTTAAGTTATCAGTGCCACGCCCTTGAACCGTGCGCGGCCTCCGGCTTCCTCGCAATCGACCGTGCTCCGCCGCCCGTTCCTTGACTCATCGACCACGAGCCACCACTGCCCACCGACGCTCTCAACCGCCAGCTCTAGTTCTTTCCGTAAGTTTGAATTTGTTTATTTCGTGAGTTTTGTGTTTTTTTGACTAGTTAGGCTTTTCCTTATACAAATATTGTTCATATTGTTATATTTATGGAGCTTAATGTGATTTACAGAAGCATTTTTAGGATTCGATTTAGTTGTTTCTTTTTCCTTTTTTCAAACGAATTTTTATACTATTGTAAGAAAAAATTGGCGTTGGGGCAGAAGAATATTATCAAATTTGGGCATAATTTTTAAAAAATACAGTATTTGGCAGAATTTTTAATAATACTCTGTAATTTTGGGTAGAATGTTTAAAACATAAACTTTGGGCAAATTATTTTTGGTTATCAGCCTTTTACCTAATTTTGCAATTAATTTTAGAATTTGTTCTTCCTGATGGGGATCTTGTGAATGTAATTTATTCTTTCTTTATCTTTGCAATTTTGTTTAGGTGATATTGATAGAGTTCTATTTCAAGTGTCTATTGTGACAATGTTTAATAAGTTTGCAGACGTTGGTTGTTATGTGACTGTTAAACTTTTTCAGCCTATTGTGCTGTAAATGAATTCTATGAAATTTCCCTACTTGAAATTTGTTAAGGACCTAGCATCTCAGTAAGTTATTTTGCATAGTTCTCATATTCTCCTTATCCATATTAGTGTATAAGTTGCTATGGTTTCCTAAACTATTTATTGTTCATTAAAATATATTCTCTAAAGGCTTTTTACAAGTAATCATTCGTTGGTTTGAAATATGTGGTTAATGTTATGTTTAAAATCTTGCACTTTGTTGACAGAGTGTCTAATTTAGAATCTTGAAGCTTTGAGTTAAGAATGTGAGATTTTTATTTTTGTTGCTAATGAGGATCTTAAGTGACAATAGAGTTAGGAAACACAAGCACACCTTCTTGATTTTGGCTTAGCATTTAAGAAATTTGTCTCTCTTGGATGTATTTATAAGTATTCAAGACATTTTTATACTGACTTTTGTGGCTTCTCCTAATGGATGTGGCTTTTGGTTGTTAGAATTGTTAAATTTCTTTATACAAAGCACATGAACTAAACCAAATTTATTACTCTATATTGGAATTGGAAAATCAGTTTGTATTTTAATCTACTGAATCAAACAAATTTTTTGCAATACATTTAGATTGTCAACCAGATTTGGACTGATAAATTGCAATAATATTCAGTTCATTTTCAAATTGGAATTATATGAATTTAGATTGGAACGATATTTGATGAAAATAGAACTTCAACCTTCTTGTCATTCCATTCCATAAGCTAAATCATTTAGAGTGTGGGATTATGGGAAAGTGCATGAAAGGACAATTTATAGCAACATACATAATTGCATATTAAACAACATGAAATGAGTTTTTTGTGTAATTGTCATGACTCGTGATTACATTGCCCTCCATTTGCTTCAAATAAGTGCCATTGTTAACCTGGATGGATGGCCATTGAACTACTTCAGGTTTAATCCATTGAGTGATGCAACAGTTTATGGTACTTCTTTTGATGGACCAATCAGCTGTACTAACTAACTTAGAGACTGGAATTTCACAAACACTGGCAAACCTTAATCCCAATGGGTGGCAGGTACATCAAGTACTATATTGGAGACAAAAATGGGAATATTGGTTATAGATTTTGTTTCTTGTTAATATAAATTTTACTTCTGGATAAAATCATTGCTACACTTTGTTTTACACAGTAATTGGAAATTTCATGTAATGCATTCTTTTGGACTTCTATAGATGTGTATATCCTGTCACATCTCTCTTCTAGACTAATGTTTAATAATTCTTAGATTATTTCCGTTTTGTATGTTCAGGGTGGACACTCGATCCAATAATTTTGTATGTTTAATGATTCTTAGATTATTTCTGTTTTGTTGAGGTGAAGGATCCAAACATTACTACAATCAGACCCTGTAAATAATCTACATCCACAATATGATATTTTGGCTTATAGTAGTTCCAGGTTTGTCCAATTAATTGATCGCATTGTTGTCCTTGTGAAAAATTCATTTTTTTGTGTACATGTATATTCATTGTTATTTCATTTGTACCAGTACAGTAACTCAGGCAGAACAATGTGCCTTGAAAATTATTGTGTAAATAATTTTTTTTTTCTTTTTTGGTCGTGTAAATAATGTTGTTGCCTTTAGTCTAGTTAGTTAGATGAAAAAACTATGAATTGAGCTCCTTATAAGTTGTTTGTGTGTGTGTTTTGGGACAACGAATGTCGAATGTGGTGATACACAACATAATATACTAACGTGTGAACCTACATGTGAAATGTTTATTTTTTAGGAAATTATTTAACTTTTGAAAATATATGAAACGGATCATCATGTCTCAGTTTCACTTTAGGTATCGCATGGGATATACAAACTTGAGATTTTTAGCGAGTTATTATTTGATTTATAGCAGATTTTCTTTCAAATATGGTTGGAGGCAAATGATGTCGAAGTGATCATTTGCGGGATGTGTGGTGGTTTTGTGTTGGGTGCTGTAATTTATGTTTATATCTATTTTTTTTTTTTACTATAATCACTTTTCAGCTGCTTGTTAATTCTACTGCAACACTATTTTCAGATTTATCTTCATCGAGAGGCTGCAGGAAACAATCCACTAAAATCATCAAGGGAGGAAGAAAATGATAGTTTTGTGTGAGAAAGGTGTGTACTTGGTACCAATGAGAGATAGTTATATTCCTAGACAATACATACTTGGTGCAACTGATGGTGATAGATTTGATGTTGCATTTTTATATTTTGTAATGTCGTCAACTGATGACAATATAGATTTTATGTATCATTTTTACATTTTGTAATATTATTTTGCAATTTTTTCTCGTATCGTACATATTTTACGATTCTGATATTGATTATTTTGTTATTAGTGAAAAATAAGAATACTCTTTTTTGTTGCGACATTGTGGTTGTTACAAATACCGATACAAAAAATATGAATATCGTTTAAAATAATTTTCTGACAATCAACTTATTGTAACAAAATTTATACTGTAACAAAAGCCGTTACATATGCATGCATATTTATTGTAACGATTCTTTTATTACGAAAAGCGTCCGCTACAAATAAATCAAAAATACATTGTTACCGTTACAAAAATCGTTACAACAAAATTTCTCACGTGTTTTATAATTGCGTTGACCGGCCACTTTTTGTCACGGAAAATATCGAAACAGAGACTTTTTGTAACTCAAGTATATGCACCGGTCAAAATTGGTACAAAATCGTTACAAATAGCTTTTTATAACAAAAAATGCTCATTTGTAACGGTTTTCTAACCACTACAAATGAGCATTTTTTTTGTAGTGGTTGTTGAAAATATTTAATATGATTTTATCATTTTAGTATGTAGGTATGTATTTTGGTTGAATGGAAAACAATCAAACACTTGTGGTTTGAATGATTAATGAAATATTTTATAGTACAATAAATTTGTTGATATAATATTTTTTTTAAAAAAAATTACAAATTTAACATTGATAATGTAAAAATAAAAATAATTGTGTTGTTTAATTTGAAATTATTGTGTATTACAAATTAAACAAACATACTAATAATATTTTTATTTGTTGAATTGAAAGTTTAAATATATTTAAATTGAATTTTATATTGTATGCTTGAATAAAAATTCATGGACTTTTAATAATATATTAAAAAAATTAAAGTTTTAATAGTATATCTTTTTGAATAACATCACATAATTTTGATGAATAATTAAAATATATAATGGGAATAAATAATAAATATTAATAATTATGTGATGAATAATTAAAATATATAATGAGAATAAATTATAAATATTAATATAATACTTCTATGTAATAAGTTATTTTTCCTTAAATATCATTGTATAAATATATTTTTAAGAATCAAATATAAACATTAAAATTATATTTTTAACATTATTATTATATTTTTAACATTATTATAGTAGATCACTTGCAACTATTATCAGTAAAAATTATATTTAAAAAATTACACAAATTATATATATCACTTTGTTTTTGCATAATATTTGTAAATTAGTGATTTTATAATTATTGATGGATTATTAAAAAAGGTTATATTCACTTCATATTAATGTTTAAAAGTATGTTGCTAAAAAAAAAATGTATGAATAGTAAATTAGCTATATATTGACGATGATAGTGTAAGAATATTTTTAAGTTTTAACGTATAGTATAATTGCTAAAAACAAATTGATAAATTAATTTTGAACGATTGGTATATCGAAGTATTAATTTAAAATTTAAATATAAATTCATATATAAAATTAATATTGTCTCCGTCTCATAAGAAGAGTATCATGAATTTTTTGTAGATTTATATTTGAATATTAATATGTAGTATAAATAACAAATATATCCCATGACTAGGTATCCATTTGTTTTTTGCACGTAATTTTAAAAATATTAGTATTATATTGAGATGTAGTAGGAATAAAGTAGAAATGACTAAAATAATTTTATTAGTATTGTGTGATATAAAGGTAATGATATTTGTGTAATATATTATAAGTTGTAAGGATATTTGTAATGTTAGGTAGAATAGTTCACCAACCGCTCATCTTTACTTACTTCTCTTTAAACTCTGTATTAGTTAATTCTTTGGCTCGCTTGCGAGTGAGCCAATTTTACTGCTTTTCGCTGCGCGTTAGTTGTGCTAAATTTTTTATTTAAAATTTGCAATTTAAAATCTTTGTGTTCGACCTGAAAACTCACCAGTAAAAAGAGTATAAATAATTGTGATAATGCAATTTAGGGTCTACAAATTCATTTTCACCATCTATATCTGAAAATATCTAATAATACACATTTCACTTAAGAAACTCATAAGAAATTCCCTGTTTTTTTAACTTCTAAAACCAAATTTTTGCGTATCAGTAGGCGCAACTTCTCCGATGTGAAGGGGAGCAACGAGAACAATTATATCCCCTGTAACTATCCGCCATAATTTTCTGCATATCAAAAAAAAATTCATGGATTGCGCCTACAAATTGTAATCATCTCCGGACAAAATAATATTTATCGGAACATGAACATCCATCTTTTCCACACCAAAGAAGAAAAAAATAACCGATAACAAATAATATCGTCCAAAATCGAATCAACAGAAGCACAGACAAAAAAACCAAATCGAATGTGGAACAAAGAAAATAAGACGATCACGGAATAATGCTCAGATGGAAAAACTGAATATACTATCAATGAGGAAACCGAATTCCGAGAACGCCGGTGCAAAAATCTCTGGCAACTGCCGCCGTACGCACCCTCACGCATCGGCGAGGCGTTTGGCCGAAAAGTTTCGTCAGGCGTGTGACACACGTTGTGCCGCCGTTGGCCGAGATCTTTCGGGTGTCGTCCGGTCTCGCGGAGGCGCACCCAATGGTGGTGGCGGTGACGGCCGGAAATGAGCGAAAAGGTTGAATATGAAACGGGCAGTGTTTTCAATATGTACGTGATAAATCAGAGCTTTGATACCATATTAGAATAATCGGAATAATTAAATTTCTCAAAAATAATAATTAGGGTACATCGTCATATATATACATAGGGTTATGGGCCCGGGTATATATACAAACATATATATACAATATAATATCTACAGTATATATCAACACTGCTGATGTATAATAGGTGGACATTTTATAACGAGAAATATGACAGAAATAGTAGCTCAGAATAATTTGAGTCATTCGCTTTTGAACACACTATCAATCCAAGGGTAGAGAATTATACTCAAATGATAATGGATGTTGGAGGGCCCGTATTTGAGTCATGTGTGGGGCATGATGAAGAATCTAACCCCGAAAATAATGAAATGTATAATCTTTTTAAACAACCGATAAGCAAGAATTAAACAAACAAAAATAGTAAAAATAATTGTTGAACTAAGACGGGTGAGTATTATTTTCTCTCAAAATTATTTAAATAAAAATTCAAATCAATACTCCATTTAAAATTAATTTTAAGAATACATTATAAGATATTATGATTTTATACTTTGTTATTTTTTTAGTTGTTTTCCTTTTTTATAAAATAAAATAAAAAAAATCATCTTTTATTTAATTTTATATATCTTTCATAAAAATATTCTAATTTTCTACACTGATTATCACATTTAACAACCTTTTTTCACCCAAAATACAAACACACAAACAAATACAAAGCACTATATTATTTGATTTTTTTTTTTTTTTTTTCTCAATTCTTGCATATGCAATATCATATATTTTCATGGTTTTCTCATGCAAGGAATTTTGCAGTAGTTGTTCATGACAACTGCGGTGGAACCAAGATACACTGCTACGAGCGTGAGCGTAAATTTTATAAGTAATTTATCCCTTTTAGCTTAGGTAAATATGGAATTTTAGGTATTGCGTAATAAATAAGTAATTAAAAAGTGTATTAATAAAAATAATTATGATTTAATAAAAATAATTATAAATTAAAATTAAGATAACTAAATAATTTAATTAAAACTAAAAAAAAAAATTATAAATTGAGAATTTTAAAATGTGATTAAAAATATAAGTATATTTTGAAAAATGATAAATTATGTGGAACGAACAAAAATAGAAATAGTGAACAAATTAAATAGGACGGAGGGAGGAATAAATTACAACAACATTAATTACTATATATTATGACTATCTATATTATACATATATGCATATATATGTATATTTTGGAATAAAAGTAGTACAATTTTTCATTAGAAAAAAAAAATAAAATAAAACAAAAAACTCAACACTTAGGGGGTGTATCCAATTTTGATTATGTAGAATTTTGTTAAATTTTTAAAATTTGAGTATATTCAATCAAAATTTTTAAAAGTACGAAGGTATTTAATTTAGACTTTAAAGTCTTTTAAAATTTTGAAGTATTTAACATTTCATAAACTTTTAAATTCTATAGACTTTATTAAATTTTGATGAAAATTTATAAAAAAATTGTATAATATAAAATCTCTCTTGATAGAATAGAGAATTTGATGGATTTTTAAAATTATTATTATTATTATTATTATTATTATTATTATTATTGTTATTATTGTTGTTGTTGTTGTTATTGTTGTTATTGTATACGCGATAAACAATATGGTAATATTTATTAATATTATTATAATTTTTAATAATAATAATAATTTCAAATTAAAATATATTAACGAATTATTATTAATATTTTTAAAAATATATATATTTTTATATTATAAATATAATATTTAAAAAATATTATTATCATAATAAATATATATTATTGTGTCGTCTTTTTATTTCAATTATCGAATACAATATATTGTCATTCTAATGTCGTTCTCCCTTTTTAATTACCAAATACACTATATTGTGATATCATATCGGTGAGATATTTATATATTTATATTTTTTTTTATTAAAATGCAAGTTTATATTTATTTACTTTCTTTATTTTAATTTTTTTTTCAGAAATTGTAAATTATGTTTTGTACTTTATTTATATAGATATTTATTTTTTTTATGTAAAACATTATATAAATAATAATAATAACTAATAGAAATATAAAAATAATTTGATATATTGAATGATAATATAATCCTAAAAATTATATAATTAAAAATATTAATATACAATAATATAGTAGTGTCATATATGTTATAATATTTTTACATTATTAATAATTATATATTATTTATTTATTAATTTTATTTTATAAAAATATAATAATATATATTATATTTATAAAATTTGTATTTAATATATTTATATAATTATATATATAAATAAATAATTATTTTTCAATCTTACTAAATTCATATAAATTTATAAAGAATTCAATAAAATTCATTTTTAGGGTGTGTTTGTTTGGGGGATTGGATTGGATTGGATTTACACTATTCATCCAATTTTTTTTTCCCTAAAAACATCAAATCAAACACTTATTTTTTATTTTTATATTATACTAAAAATCAATTTTACATTCAAAACATCACATCAACACTTATTTATATCACATCATACAACTATTCAAATTCAAAATTTTTACTATTCAAATCCCAACTCAAAATCCAAACCCTTAAACAAACACACCCGTTGATGTATTTTTTCAACAAACAAAAAGTAAATTCAAAGATATGGAAAATATCTTTAAACTTGATTAATTAGTGCCTGGGATTAGAAATCTCTAAACACTGTATGGTACATAAGAAAATTAACTGGAAAATAAAATGCAGGAAATATTAAAGTGGTGATCCCCAAATCCGACTTTGCTTTGTTGAAGTTGATTGAAGATGTCTGAAGAAGAAAAATCTAAAACCGTCGCCCGAACGGTTGCAACTTCTCTTTTTCAACCATCTGCTAACCTTTCTCCTGCTGACACGTGCCCCCAACCGACCACACGATCATTCTCATTTACTCTCAACAGTATCCGCCTCTTTGGACCGACCGCAGACCCTCCGCTCTTTTGGCCCGAACGCAACTCTTCCATCTTGTTGGTCCGACTACTAACCTCCCGACTTGCAGACCACCCGACTTGTTTGGTCCAGCCGCAAACGTCCCGACTTAAAGACCATCCGACCTGTTTGGTCCAGCCGCAAACGTCCCGACTTAAAGACTATCCGACCTGTTCGTCTAGCCGCAAACGTCCCGACTTAAAAACCATCCGACTTGTTGGTCTAGCCGCAAACGTCCCGACTAAGAGACCATCCGACTTGTTGGTCCAGTCGCAGACCTCCCGACCTGAGGACCTCCCGACTTGTCCCGACCTGAGGACTTTCCGACCTGCGGACTTCCCGACTTGAGGACCTCCCGACCTGCGGACTTTCCGTCCTGATGACTTTCCGTCTTGAGGACCTCCCGACCTAAGGACCTCCCGACCTGAGGACCTCCCGACCTGAGGACTTCCCGACCTGAGGACTTTCCAACCTGTGGACTTCTCGACCTGAGGATCTCCCGACCTGAGGACTTCCCGACCTAAGAACTTCCCGACCTGAGGACCTCCCGACCTGAGGACTTCCCGACCTGAGGACTTTCCATCCTGAGGACTTTCCAACCTGCGGACTTCCCGACCTGAGGACCTCCCGACCTGAGAACTTCCCGACCTAAGAACTTCCCGACCTGAGGACCTCCCAACCTGAGGACTTTCCGACCTGAGGACCTCCCGACCTGAGGACCTTCCGACCTTCTATTTTCTTAGAAATATATCTTTTTTACCTGAGTTTCCCATGGTGCCCATCGGCCAGTTCGATCAACTCGATTGCTAGGCCCATTTTTCATTTTACCTTGGACGTTTTAACCTAATTCTATATTTCATACGTAACAAAACTCAACTATCTGGATTTAAAAAATGGACATACTTTTTAAAATCCAAAAAAATCAATTGAAATTCAATTGAATACACCCTTAAATGTTTATATTATTATTATTTTTATTTATTTCAAACATTTATATATATATATGTATATACATATATTTATAAATAAATAAAAATAATTCAATGGAATAGGAGTGAGAGGTAGAGATGGCAATGGACAGGGGTAGACCGAGATCGAACTCGGATCCTACCCATTTATTTGGGATTGGGTTCAATTGTTTGGGTATTGGGTCCGGTATGAGTCGAGTTTTTAATAGAATTTTTAAGGTCAGGTCGGTCCACTGTTTAATAACAGACTCTACTCGACTCGGACCTGATTAATTAAAATAATAAATTTCACTATTAATTCTTCTATTTTTAATTTATATTTTTAGTTTTTATCATTAAGGGTGGTGGTGGTGGTGGCAGCTGTGGCTGAAGCATCAAGGCCGGATTAGTGAAGATTTATTTTTGTTGTATATATATTTTTAATTTATTTATTTTTAAATAAATAGATATTTTTTAGGTAAGTCGAGTCAAATTTGTGTTGAAATTTTTTTGAATTTGATGGATCTGGCGGATACATCATGAGTAGGATCCGAGTACATACGGATCCGAATACATTAAGATCTGGATAGGGTCTTGGATCCGGTAATATACATATGGGTAGGGTCTTGGGTTCATCTATACTCGACCCATACTTTTTCCATTGTCATCCCTAGTGAGATTCATTATTCAGAATTCATAATTTTTGTATTGCATCTTTGTAAGCTTAAGAATACATTTCTTTAGTCGTCATTATAAAAAAATAATATATTTGTAACAGAATTCCGTTTCTAAAGTTCACGTAGCTAACGTAATTCCGTTCCTAATTCCGTCTCTAATGTCATTAGTAACGAAAACAGTAGATTTAGAAACAAAAAAAATTTTGTTACAAAAATAATTTTTTTTTTTTTTTTTTTTTATAGTGAATGTCCGATAATTCTTCCAGCTAACGTAATTCCGTTCCTAATTCCGTCTCTAATGTCATTAGTAACGAAAACAGTAGATTTAGAAACAAAAAAAATTTTGTTACAAAAATAATTTTTTTTTTTTTTTTTTTTATAGTGAATGTCCGATAATTCTTCCAATGATTTGCTATTATAATTTATAGCAGTTATAACATTCTAGGATTTATGTTCATGAATTGTTGACGTTGAATCCATCACTCTTGCAACTTTTTTTTTTTATTTTTTTTTTTTTTTAAATATTGATTATTATTCTCTATATAAGGTTTTGCAGTCTTATTGAATATAAATTATTTTATTTGCATGACCACTTGACATCTTATTGCTGCAAATATATATATAATAACACTAGCAAATAATTTATATTATTAAAATTTGATAACATTAATCTTTTTCAACAATAATTAAATTATAAAAATTTCAAACACAATGAAATTTATCAAATTTATAATGATGTTTTTTGTGACTTCATGACTGAATCCAAAATTTTTGTTTCTATAGCATCCGTAGCTTGGTTTTATATTTATATATATATATATATATATTTATTTATTTATTAGGTTTGGAAAGTGGTGCGAAACTCATCTAATTTTCTTTTGTCCGACAGCTGCTGACATGCTATAGTTTTTTTATTTTTTTATTTAAATTCGAAAAGTTCAGGGATCTTGTGCACAGTTGTGCACACGAACCTGTAATTATAATTATTTGATATTTATTTATATTATAATTTAATAATATATATATAATATATATGTCATTTTGTAGAAAATAATTTTTTTTATAATACAAATAAATAAAAATTCAAATATATATATATTGGGTACATTATAAATTCATAATATGGTCATATAATATAAATTTTATCAATTAAATTTAATACACATTTATATTATTTTATTCATTGTCCATCAAATCAATACTCATCAAAACTCTCAAAACTCCAACCAAATTCAAACACAAAAACAAAACAACAAAATTCGAACTTATCCCAAAATTCAAATAAAAACAAAACTTAAATCTAAATTCCTCCAAACCCCTATCAAGAAACACACGTAGTTCTATGAAGTCCAATATGGATAAATGTAAACATCATTGTTACTGTTTTTAAAGCAAGCTAAGTCTTAAGCATATTCTTTTAATTGCTTTATAACAATTTTTGAATTGATATAACATCTAGCTATTGTAAAAGTAGTTTCTTTATTTATTATTATTATTATTATATTGAAAGTAAAATAATCATTGAATGAAATTAAATAATAAAAATAAATAAATAAAGTTAACAACTCTGAGAGAAATAAATTTTGAACATGCAGGTGCAGCAGCGATTGGATCCATAAAATGCAGTGCAGTGCAGCCACAAACAATTAAAAGCTTTCATGAAATATAATCCCAATAATCTTTCTGTCGTCACTTTACAAAAACAATCCCATAATACACACACACAAAACCGACCTAAAAAAGCTTACTAGTCACACGGTACCCCCCTGTAAAAGCCCTGGACTAGCATTTCATATTATTACTATTGCTATGATTATATATATCGTTTTCCTTTATTCTTGATTTGATTTGATTTGATTTCATATATATATATATGAACAATATATCGGTGTTGATTCAATCGAACCATATGGACAGAGAAAGAGAGACAGAGATAGAGATTTTACTTGGATGGAACTTCAGACCCGGTGGGGGTGGAGGTAGGGGTGGGGGTGGGGGTGCAAACCAGGGCTCTTTGCTGCAGGTGTCTCAAGCTCTGTTCCATGCTGACTCGCACCATATCCGAAAGCATCTGCTTCGCGTTCTGCTCGTCACCATCGATCCGCGATATGATGTTGCACACAATGTTCTCCAGAGTGTCCGCCTGCAGATCCGATCTTGGACAAGGGCTGTCCCTCAGCAGCCGCAGCAACGTCTGCGCATTCGACTGGCACTTGGCTGTTCCCAGAACCGTCAGCTCCAGGAGCCCCGGGATGACGCCCTCTTTAAGGATCGGCTCTCTGTATTTGGACCGGTCGCTTCGGCACATTGTCAGCAGTGCTCCCACAGCATGTTCGCGGCTTTGAAGTGATCCGCCCTCCAGTGCTTCTACCACGGCCAGAATCCCGCCTTGTTCGGATGTCAGAACCATTCTCCCTTCGTCGAAGCTGACCAGGGATTCAATCAGGGCAGTGCATTTCTCGACTGTTTTGGAGGATTTCTTGCAGGATTTGAGTAGACTGATTAAGGGGGGGATGGGCTTGGATTGAAGGATTAGGCTGACGTTGTCTGGATGAGTCGATAAGTTGTATAGAGCCATTACGGAGTCGAATTTAGCTTGGGATCCTCCCTGGCTTAGGATATCGACAAGGTGAGGGATTGCGCCGGAAGCACTGATAATTGGCTTGTTGGTTGGGGATGCAGACAGAGTGATCAAAGCTGCAGCTGCATGCTCTTGCAAGGTTGAATTATCTGACTGAAGGAAACGAATGATCGGCTTCAACGCACCTGTTTGGATTATGTTTATCTTGTTCCTGCAACATGCAAAGGATGGAACTTATTGACAGGAAATATAAAATAAAACTATAGCAAAATCAAATAGCCAAATCAGATGCACAAGGTATGTTCTTGGAGAGAGAATTGATATTATTTGATAACACTATACTCCCAAGATATCATAATTTCATTAGATAAATCATTCGATTGATGTGGAATAAATCACAAATAAAAGATGATAGATTCGATCAACAACAGTCACAAATCTAGAGTAGAGGTAATGTTAAACCCAGATCTAGAAACCAATGAATATGTAAACTTGATGCTAGAGGAAAACTAAAGAACACAACATCCATCTTTTTATAGTTTGCTGATTTCACATCATGCCTTGTGGCTGTGTAGAAATGTACGTAGATGCATTACAGACACACACGGGCATAAACGAAGGGTTGATTGCTAAGTATAAGAACATTTAAACTGGTAAAAAATACTTGTTGCATTGTATTTTTATGCAAAACAAGCAAAGCAAATATTAGATGTCATTGTGGTCACTACGTTCCCTAGTGGCATAATCCAAGTTTAAAATCTCTACCTATCAGCTATGAAAAATTCACAACTTTAACAGTGGAATGGTTAGAAACCTTGTAGTGAGAGTACTCACACTTATAGTGATGTCCATGAAATCTAACAAGTAATCAAATAAATCAAGAAAATTAACTATTACTTTGAATTAGATCGATATTTGTCAAAAAAACAATAAACTAATAGAAACTGGAGTGATGCTCATATATTGTGCTAATTCTTCAAAAACTTGACTTACTAACTGTCCTTATTGGTGTTTAATGTTAGCAAGGCCAGAAATTATAGAAGAAAGATCCCTTTAGAGTGGAATACCAAAAGTTCAAATTGCTTTTTCCTCAATCAATATTTAAGTATTGGCAGATAAAAAGAATAGAATATCTTCTAGGAAAAGAAAACAGACCTAATCCATCCATGTGATTACTTCACAAGCACGACTAGGAAAAGGAGTTAAGATGGGCCAAAGAGTATTAAAAAAAAAAAAAAAAAAAAAGAAAAGGAAAGATTAGGAAAACGATGCAAAAAGAAAAGAGAAAGCAACACGTGAAAACTAATTTCTTTTATTTTTTTAAAAAAAAAATAAAAATCAGTCACAGTAGAAATTATATTCGCTTAGGAGAAAACTATGCTTGGAAATGGCAAATGGAGGAGGACGAGATCTTCTTATACAGAATTTTTCTAACAAAAGAAGGTTAGATATTCTACTTTAGCCAATTATTTCGTTTCTATATGTTCTTTGATCTCATCCATTTGCAGATTCGCTCATACAGTTTTTATATGTAAAGTTCGCAGCCTCATACTATAATGAAATTTGTGAATGACATAAATTAAGGATCTAAACAGAGAGAATAATTGCGTAATGATGCATTGCAGAAATTGAACAAACCTAAACCTTCTTCGGAAATTGAAACCTAATTATTTGGAATGGCGTATCAAAAATAGACAATAATCAAATCTAGTAATACTTTGTTTGAAGGATGATTCCGTGGTTTTATATATCCAAATAATTACAGGATCCAAGGAAAACAAAGTAGTAAAATAAACGAGAGTGGCCCCAGCAATAAGATTAGAATAACAGAGTACCTAATACGGAATCGAACTTTCATATGAGGAATTGAGGATTGCTAAAGGAAGAAAAACGAAGTATCTTAAAAGCAATCTTAGCTTCAATTTGGAAAAATTTCAACAAAAATCATCACCGCGAAACTGGCGAATTGCATCAATTTCTATCTCTGAGGACCAAAAATTCGCTGTATGAATCCAGAAGCATTTCGATTTCGATTTCGATTTCAATTTCAAATTTGCAGCAAAAATAAGCTGAGAGAGAAACATCATCAGTCGTGAGCAACCACACAGACAAAAGCAATCAAAGAAGAGACGATTTTCAAGCAAGCTTACGTTTCATCTTTAACCGCGAGGTTAAGCAGCGCGGCAAGCGCGGCTTCGTTTGCCTCCGCGGAGTCGCAGAGGAGCATTTCCGCCAGCGGCTCGACCGCACCGCAGAAATGACGCCGGTACCTCTGCGAAGTCTTCGTCAGACGCCGGATATTCTTCGCCGCCTGCAACCTCGAATCCAGATCGTCCGATCGCAGAAGCAACATCGTCTCATCGACGGTGGATGAACACGCAGCACTCGAAGCACGCGGCGTAGATTCCACCGCCTCGTCACCACTTCCGCCGAAACTCCCTTCTATCCCCATTTCCAAGCTCCGGTTACCTCTGTGACAGTGAAACGGAGAAGAATCTGAGGAAGATCGAGAGAACGGTGGGTAAATCGCATGGGAGAAAACGTAAGGCTGTGGGGCGGAGCTGTGGCGTCAAGCAACAGTTATACAGTTACCCGCCAGAGAGGGGGTTGGATGGGTGGGTTGTTGGGGGTGGGGGGGTATGGGGGCCTGGGCGGCGCGGGGGCTCAACGGCATTTTTCTGTGTAGGCCTGCCTGCTTTTGTTAGTTAGAATTTGGGGTTTTATGTGGACCCCACCTACGGGGTGGGTGGCCTGGGGTTGGGTTATTTGTCGGTAATCTAAATTATGAATCAATTGCATTTATCTGACGCCCTAATTGGCTTTAGTGTGTGTATAAATCTATTTATATTAATATTGGCGTCTGTATATTTCATCGAAAAATAAAATTTCAATTCAGAAATCTACAAAAATAACACAACAAATAAAAATAACTTTATGTTAAGATGGACGGAGTATATATTTAATAGGGTAAATTTTATTTTATTTTTTCCTAATTTACCTTTTTTATTATTATAATTATATAATTGGAGCTAAAATAATCTAATAAGGGAAAAATTTTGGCACATTTGTGTTGAAGATACCTGAGTAGCACCCGCAAAGACCGATTGAAAGTACTTGTTCGCCAAGCAAACGTCACTTAGAGAACATGTGAAATATTTTTTTAAAATTAATGTACCGGTCGATGTGTGAATTATTATTATTTTTTTGCTAAACTGCACAAAATCCACTTGTGATTTCATGAAATTGCTTCAAATCCTCCATATTTTTAAAATTGCGTCAAATTCCCTCGTGGTTTCATAAACTTTACGTCCAACCCCCTCAGCGGTCCTTATTTAACGGTATTTGACCTAAATGCGCTCAAATTGCAAATAAATTTTAGAATCTCAATTTTTAAACAACTAAAATTAAAAATATATTTATTTTTTTTATATATTTAGCCCAAAAAAATAGTAAAAATAAACTCTTAAAACTTAAAAAAAATAACTATTTTTGAGTATATTTACTATTTTTTTAGGGTAAATATAAAAAAATAAATATATTTATAATTTTAGGGGTTTATAAATTGAGATTCTAAAATTTATTCACAGTTTGAGCGCATTTAGGTTAAATACCGTTAAATAAAGATCACTGAGGGGGTTAGACGCAAAGTTTATGAAACCACGAGGGAGTTTGACGCAGTTTTAAAAGCATGGAGATTTGGTGCAATTTCATGAAACAATGGGTGGATTTTGTACAATTTAGCCGAATTTTTTTTAATACATTAACTTTTTTTAAAAAAAATAAAAACTAAATTTTTCACGTGTCTGCTAGGTGACGCTTATCTCATAGATATGTCATCTAGTATGTCACGTGAATACCACGCAGACATCTAATACATCAAATTTTAAAATAATAATAATAATAAAAAAAAATTCATATGTCCTCTAGACGACGCTTACATGGCGAACATGTGTCATTTGGTGTGCCACGCAGGCATCTTGGTGCCGAAGAATCAAATGTTCCAAAAATTCACTTACGAAACTATTTCAAAAGAGATTTTAACTACAAAACTAAAATGATAAGATGAGCCAATTATCAGACAAAAAAATTAGTTCACCCTATTTAAAATATATATATATTTGTGTTCGTTTGTATTTTAGATAGATGAATTTTTCATGTTAAATAGGAAAAATTATATAAGCAAAAAAAAAAAAAAAATAGCATAAAAAATGCTTGTGATTTCTGAAATTTGTTGAAAACTCTCCATGATCCTAAAATTCTATAAAACCTAATTGCGATTTGAAAAATGTTGCACACATGCCCTTTCATTCAAATTGGACTGACGATATTAATATTTTACTCATTTTAGTGTTATATTTTTTCAAAATTGGATTCATTGTACACACATACACAAACACAAATAGAAATACATACAGACAAATAGAGAGATACACACAGAGAGACACACATATACATACAAATAGACACATAGATATAGTCGTTATCATGACCGACTCTTAGGGGAGCAACATGAGCAAGTGCTTAGGGCCTGGTGTAATAGGACCCATAATTTTAGAAGCTAGACTATTACTATTATTAGATGTATTAAATTTTAAATTAGATTTTAGATTTTAATTATTCTTTTTTTTCTACGTTATCTAATTCAATTCTAATTCTGAAATAAATCTTTACGATTTTTGTTCTCTATACATTTCTATGTTTTCTCACCAGCACGCCCTGTCCATTAAAATTTAAATTAAATTTATTTTTGTTTGTCTTTATATGTACGAAGATTTTGCTATTCATTGACTGTACACTTTGTGTTTATGCTTTTTTATTGGATACATGATTAAAATAATTTTTATTTTTGTAAAGTTTATTATTATATTTATCGTTAATATTATTTTAAAAATAACTTTAATAATATGTTTATGCTATAATTTAATTTTTTGCTTAGGGCTCAAAAAGACTTCGAGACGCTCTGCTCGCTAACTTCTTGTTCCTTCTCTTTTTCTTCTTGTTTTTCCTCCAAATTAATTTTCAGAGTGTCCTCCTCACCCATCTTTTTTTCCTTTTCCTTTCCGTTTCTTCTTCTTAATCTATTTTTGGATTTTGCAAATATGCGGGAACTATTAATTTTGTTGCTTTGGGTTTTGCAAAAATTTGGGGGAATTTTTAATTTAAGCTCCATCCAGGCGCCTACTTTTTTTTGCGTGTGTGTATATACACATACATGAATAATCAATTAAATTTATTATCTATTCTTCTTGCAATACCTTAGAAACTACGATTAAATGTTATAAAATTTTTAAACTACGGGGGATTTTTAGCAAATTTAGCAAACTACGGGAGGATTTTATGCTATTTTGAGTTGAATTATTGATTGTAAGTGGATATAATAAGTGTTTGGTTGGGAGATTTTGACCAGATTTTACTATTCGCTAATTTTTTTACCCTAAAAAATATTAAATTAAACACATTCTTTATTTTGTATATTTTAATAAAAATTAATTTTATTTTTATAATATTATATTAACATCTATTTATATTTATAGTACATCGTATAATTATTCATATTCAATTTTTTTACTATTCAAAACTCAAACTCAAACCCAAAATTCAAAACCCCAACCAAATAGATTCATATTATATATATTACGTTAATATTTGTATATATATGATATTTTCTGTAATATTAATCTAAAATTGTTCACCAAAAAAATTATTGAATGAACAAACCCTTGATATTTATTTAAAATTTTTATTTTGAATATTGATTTAAATATATTGATAGATTTAGTTGTGTTTTTGGAGATATTTTAGGGTGATTGTTTGAAGGTTTGACTTTTCAGTCATCTATTTATCTAGAGATGCATTCAAATGGTTGCGTTTACTTGTGAGATTTTGGTTTTGAATTTTGATTTTGAATAGTAAAATTTTGAATTGAAATAGTTGTTTGATATGATATAAATCCGTGTTGATGTGATGTTTTGAATGTAAAATTAGATTTTAATGTAATAAAATAAATAAAAATTGAATGTTTGATTTGATGTTTTTGGAGGGAAAAGAAAATTGAAATAGTAAAATCGGTCATAAAATATTACAAGTAAAAAATATATTTTGAATAAGTTCAAGTGCTTCGGAGGAACCATTCAAAATGTATAGCGGTTGTTTTAAATTACAGTAGCGACGATGATAGATTTTTTGGGAGGAACACTACAAGAAAAAATTATTTTTGTAACAAAATATTTTTGTCTCTAAATCTATTTTTTCCGTTACTAATGAATTAGAGACGGAATTAAGAATGAAATTACGATAGCTACATGATCTTTAGGGACGGAATTTCGTTACAAATATATTATTTTTTTGTAGTGGAAGGGGGCCAAATAGTGTATTTAACACCATACGACAATATTCCAACGATCAGTTATAGAGTAGAGGTGAGTAGTGGATTCCTACCTGAGGAGCTGACCTCCCGCATCAAGCTTTTAGGGGGCAACAAAATTTCAACACTCCAGGAAGCATGAGTTTTCATCCATAATACCAAGGATCGTCACCGATGATCGTCCTACTAACAAGCGATTTAATGCCATTAGTATAATGCCTCTTGCGCAACAAATCGATCTAATATTTCCACCAACGCAACATATCATCGTCGATCCGCCAAATAGTGTGCAAGCTTTCTACCTTACCATTGCAGCTTAAAAAGAGTTGGGCGATAGTCGATACATACAACTCTATATGAATGCATCCCGATTAGTGATTCAAAAGTTAACATGTCTGATATTATATCCGGACAAGAAGCTTTCTCGCCAAAGCAGCGCCGGGGGAGTAGGGGACAATGATCATTTGGTGCTCCGGGTGATCCTTATTTCATCGACAATATCAAGGGAAACAACTGCCAATTATCCCGGTCTAGTTATTATAACGTCGCCAATATAGCACCTTCAATTTATCAATTGGGTCCAAAGCATCAGCCACTTCAATTATTTCGAGTTGCTATGTCAAGAACCCCCACAACCAGTTGTTTTGTTGTTAGGGGATCTTAACGCCACTAGTATTAATGCATCCTCGGAGCAGCAGGTTGGTCCGAAAGTCCATCCGACGCTTCAAACTATTATTGATCCTTAAATATTGACGGAGGTTGTTCGTGGAGTTTTTGAATAGTACCTACACCACACCTATACACCATCGTATCATTGACCTTACCCCGATTGGGTAAGGGCTACAATGCCAGTGTCGTGCGACATTAATATATCTAAATTTATTCTTTTCTCGGGGAAGGATAGACTATCGAGTATTAAGCATGTGAACCATTTTGTTACGCAATGTGGCAAGAAAGAATATAATGATTGACATAAACTTTAAATGTTTTCGCTATCGGTGACTGACGCCATATTCAGTTCGTATTCAGTGATACCACCAAACTCTATACAATTGTGGCAAGCTATGGATAAAACATTTCATGATCAATTTTATAGCTCGTTGATTGAAACTACATTGCTTGATTTAATGAAGGAAAACAACAAGTTGATAAACCAATTGCTGAATATATTGAGCACTTTTGACATTTGAAAATTCACTGTAATTTATAAATCTCATATATTCAAGCAACGCATATAGTGATAAGAAATATGCATTCAC